TGACTATGACAACAATGGGAACTCGACAGGTACTCACATTCGTGTTCGTAAAAATAGAAGAAAGTATACAAGAGAATATTATGAAGTTTTAGGCAAACATGGCAAAATGTACAGACTGCAAGCAGAAGATAAAACGACTATTGTCAGACTCGTTTCAAACTTGTTAAGGTTCAAGGTGGTATACTTTCAAAGACAGTTCCTAACAAATATAAGACAACTCCTGACGAATATGCTAAAGAAGTTGAAAATGACGACTAAGCATTTCTATACCATGCGTAAACTGTCATGTATGGTGGCATGTAGTCTTTACTTTGTCCCGTTGTTTGCGTATACCTGAAACGCGATGTGTATGGTTTCCATCTCCCTGTGTGCTACCCCAGAAACAATTTATAGCAAACTGAACGTCGTCTTTAACATCATATCCTTTACCTTTTTTCATTGCTGACCAATCCCAAAATCTATGCTTATGCCAACCTGCTTCAGATGTACTTAAATTTATGTAGTGACTGTGCGCAGGTAAATTTTTCACCTGAAATCGTTTTACTTCCACCTGTTTCCTTTGAAGAGTTTGCACAATACAAAAACCTGTCGACTATTTGAGTCCAAGTTCCAAAACCAAGTACTACTTCTGGTTTGGTAGAGTTCATTGACGTGTAAATAGAACCAACCGGGTATATGGTTTGAAGTATTTCTGTCTTTAATGTTTGAAGCTCTGTTTTGTCAGCTTTTTTATCTAACTCATCGTTAACATATGTTTTGTCAGCTTTCTTATCAATAAATCTTGAGCAGTGAATTTAACATTGTTTTCATCCTCCATGACATAGACATTTCTACATCTAATGTATTTCATCGTCGTTATGTCATCCTCCGATGTTAAACCTTGTGGAAAGTTAGGAGGTTTCCAATTTAATACATCCCCACCAGTTCCATCAGGTTCTTCAACCGTTCCTGCAATATTTTCTATACCAACAGTTGCGAAGAAATCGTGTGTATGTCCAACGTCACTTTTCTTGTTTAAGGTTTCTTGTAAGTTTGTAATATCAGATATGGTATGTGTATGAGTCTTTTTAGAATATTCTTTGTCAGCTCTTGTCACTTCACTTGACATTTTATTGTCAACATATGTTTTATCCGCTTTGTCATCTAACATTGCTGGTAGTTCATCTACGTCATAGATGTTATGTGTATGATGTTTTTGTGGGTATGTTCTATCTGTCCATGCGAGAATATAGTCTCTTGTTGCATCTACATACTCTTTGTCAGCTTTGTTGTCAATATCTGCTTTCAAAAGAAGTTCATCTATAGGTTTTCGTTTAAAGTTCTTTTTGTTGGATTTATACAAACAGTATGGTTCTTACTGTCTTGAAACAGAAACTCGTCTGTCATTGGTTTATCGTCAGTTTTAAGTTTCCTTCTTTCAATGACTCAGATATCTTAGAATAGTTTGAAAAGTTTGTTGTGTTCTTATTTAGAGCTTGTACAATGAGTTGTCGGTTGTGTTGTATTTCTCTCATAGACGCTGTTTCTTTCGACATTTTTATTCTAGATAAAATATGCTTTCAATAGAAAAAGAAAATTCAAGAGTTGCTACAACTAAACCATTAGATGAACTTTTTACGAATGTCGGTCAAAATTTGAGACAGAGACCGTAAAGCATGAAGGCTATCGTTTTGACTACCCACTAAGATGTTAAGAGACCCATCCGTCACAAAAGCTATTGGCTTTCGTAAATGAAGTTCATTTCAGAAGCCATACATGGTTTCCCATTTACGGTCGCTTTTTGAAGTTCGATACTATAACAAAGAAAAACGTACGTATGAGAAATTTGAAACAGGGAAAACTTTTACAAGTGAATTTGCTTGTAAACTTAGAAACAACTCTTCAAGCTTTTCAAGAAAAAATAAACGACATCTATATCGAATATGCAAACCAGTATAACATTGACGAAGGAGAAGTACATCTCGATATTATATATGACAGGAAAATGCAACTGTTTAAATTCAATAAAATAGAAGACCTTGGAGAAACGTTTAATATTTCTACAAAATATAACAACTTGGCATGGCATAGATTTTTGAGGATGTTAAATCAGCCTGCATGGTATCCAGTACACCCGGACTATTATGAAGTCTCAAACCCTAATGGAACATATGAAAATGTTTTCGACTCTGACGCTATTATAGTTCATGCTTCATTTTCTGGTGCACAAAACTCTTTTTATGCTTGGCAAATGACTTTTACGAAAAACTACAAAGCTATACGAACCACCAAGTGGAAGTATTTCAGACTTTCAAGTATGGTTTACTACAGATGGAAGAAGAGAATAATTCCATTATACCATGCGTTTTACTTAGAACTTAGTTTCATATACAACTACTATCGAACGGTAAAAATATAATTTTAATACGGTTGAGGTGTTGGATTTGGTTGCCAACTAGACTGTGGTGCAGGTTCAGGCTGTTGTATAACAGGAGCTTGTTCTTCTGGTTCAGGGTCTTTAGGTATAATACCAACAAATTGACCTACTCTTTTACCAATATTTTTGACTCGTTCCAAATTCCTCTTCCTCAGATTTTATTCCATTCCATATACCTCTTCCAACATTTCGAAAGAAGTTTCCTATTCTTCCAAAGAAACCCATTTTACTAGTAAAAATCTAATGTCCGCCTAGTCCTCTTACGTTTCCTGTTGAGTTCCATAGCATTCTTTAACTGGAGCTCATACATTCTGTTCTCCTCTGGTAGAAAACATACTCTGGGTCAACTCCTGTGTTCGCGTCATCTGCATAGAGTTGTTTATATCCCACTTCAGGGTTTGTATAAAACTCTTTCCATCTCATATTTTGCATACCATGGTGGCAAACCTAACGCAGCGTCATTTGACATGGCAGTTTGCATTTGTACATCTGTTGGCACTTGACCATAGTTTGCCATTGCAGTTTGTATTCTAACTTCATTTGGAATATTCTCTGGGTTTGGTTGTCCAGGTTGCTGTGCATTCGCTAAGTTCTGTGCGTCCATTTAATATTAGATAAAAATATCTCTTACGAGTACATATGCTGAACATTTGCAGGCATTGGTTCATCTTCATATTCTCTATATCTTTCTGCCACGTCAAATAAGTAAATGACACAATGGAAAAAACCTAAAACAAGTAGTCCTATTTCAAACCACATTTACTTACCAATAAAAATTTCTTTGTTATGACACTTTCTCCCGGTTTATAGGACCTCTCTCATATTCTATCTTATCGTATCTAAACTCATAGTCATGTATGTCTCTAACCATCTCATGACACTTTCCAAACCACTTTTATCGGATGTAAAGTAAAAGCATGGATGGTTATGTACAACGTCTAAAGTTTCTAAAGAGTCTCTCAAAGTCCAGTCTACTTGGTATTGAAAATCATATGTGTTATAAGAACGGCGGGTCTACTATAAAAGAAACATTTTCCTTGTCTTTATATTTTTCATACAACTCTGTCCAACGACAATCTCACAAACTCTATACCCTCAGTATATTTTTCTATGTTCTCTTGAAAACCTTTGTATAGTTAAGATATAAAACTTTTGACATAAGTGTTTCAATGTCATGAACTCTTATAGAACACTATACAATAGTCTAGAAGATATACTATCCCAGTCAATATACTCTGCTTTTTTCAAACCTCTCTGACAGTATTTTTCTTATCTAATGGTATACGTTCCATCTTACCTATAGGTATCTTTTCTTTTAACTCTTTCAATATTTTGTTTGTGTCTGGTATATGTTTGAGACGGTTCATATAGTTGTCGAAGTCATTGCATATAATCTTTGAGTCAGGAAATACAGTATGGCACAAATGAGAATATATAGAAACTTCCACCGAACAATCTACAAATGTTAGACCATTCGGTAGTTCTTAAGTTCTCTCAATGAATATCTTTACATCTACTCTTATTTCCAAAGAAGGGTAACGGTGGTTTTGTAAAATTCATTTTATATATATATAAAAAATGTTTTTACCTGAAAGTGACAGAAAAACGGTTTTTGACAGATGTTTTATTGTGACTTCTTCGTAAAGACTTTGTTGAGATTTCTTCGTAAATGAGTGTAAATGACCCAAAAATATATTTTAGGGTAGAAAGGGATATTAACCTCTTTTCTAACCTCTTTTCTACCCTCTTGAATTTTCATGAATTTCTTCGTAAATGTTTTGTCAAGACTTCTTCGTAAAGACTTTGTTGAGACTTCTTCGTAAAGACTTTGTTGAGACTTCTTCGTAAAGACTTTGTTGAGACTTCTTCGTAAAGACTTTGTCAAGACTTCATCGTAAAGACTTTGTTGAGATTTCTTCGTAAATGACCCTAGTAGTATATTTTTGGTGTAAATTTCATGAAAATTCAAGAGGGTAGAAAAGAGGTTAGAAAGAGGTTAGATATACCCTTCTACCCTAAAATATATTTTTGGTGTAAATTTCATGAAAATTCAAGAGGGTAGAAAAGAGGTTAGAAAAGAGGTTAGATATACCCTTCTACCCTAAAATATATTTTTGGTGTAAATTTCATGAAAATTCTGAGTAAAATGACAGATGTTTATATGACACTTTCTCCGGTTTATAGGACCTCTCTCATATTCTAAACATCTTCGGGGCTAGAAGGCACGAAGTGCCTGGAAGCCCCACTACCTTTTTTTTTTTTTTTTTTTTTTTTTTTTTTTTTTTTTTTTTTTTGTTGATCCCAAAAATCGTTATTAGTGTGATATTAATGTTATTTTTATTCGAAGGATAAGAAAACGCGAATATTCTGGAAATCATGGAGAAACTGAAATTGTTGTGCCAAAATTCATTGTGATACTAGCTGTTTGTTCTTTTTCTACTAGTTTTTTACAACCATCCGGCATCCTCTCAATTTTGTTGACACTCAAGATGTAAATCATAATTTTCTAAGGTAAAAAGTTAGTGTTTTTGGTCAGGAAAAAGTTATTATGAATCAACATATAAATAAAGATTTATTAATAAAGTTATACAACTATTTTCTTCTCAACAATTGATCTTTCAGCTTCTTTATCCTTCTTAATCTTAAGATAGATAAGAACAATTATCACTCCTATAACTATAAGTACAACTAGAGTTACTATCACAGGAACAACAACATTTTTCTTGGATCCTTTATTAAGCAAACCCATTTCGCTCATATCAACTGGATCCATGCCAAGTTTGTTCAATCTTGATCCTTTCTTAATTGAATAATCTCCATTCTTGAAATCGGCGAAATCTTTCTCTGTTGCATTAATATAGTTATTAATGAATACTTCTCCAAAAGTATATGATCCATTGACATATTCTTGATTCTTGAATAAAGCTGCATTCTTTGGATAAATAAAACAATTATCAAAAACAAAGGCAGAAGGTGGAATAAGTGGAAACTCAACAGTATTATTCTTGTAATACTGATCAATAACAGATAAGTTAGGGTATGATGTTATATAAGGAGGAAGATTTCCTTTGACTTTTGGATTATCACGAATTGTATAGAATCTTGGTCTCAAGAATTTATGGAATGTTTGAGGTTCAGCCCAAGCTCTTGCATCAACCCACAATGCAAAAGTGGCATTTACAATTATATTATTTCTCGCATGGTAATCTCTTCCTCCTCCAAGCCATATTGATCTACCAGCATTCACTAATATATTATGTGATATATTTACACCACTTTCACAATCATCCATATAAATTCCTTGGTGTATCTCATTATTTGGAACTAAATCATGAATATAATTGTATCTAATTGTGTTATTTCTTGTTACGTAATTCATACCAGCGTAAAAAGCTGATGTTGGGAATGGAGATTCAAATATATCAGAAATTTCATTATATTCCATCATTATATTATTTCCAGAGAAAAATATTGCGTGTCCAGCTCCATGATGAATATAATTATGTGATATTGTTATACCAACACCTTCAATCCTAAACGCTGGTGTAAACCCATTTCTACTCATGTTACAATACCAATAAACTTCGTTGTTTATAACTTTACAATTTGAATATTTTAGAGTATATTCATCATGAGCTGAATCAACGACAATGGCTTGGCGCATTGTATGATGGATCTTGCAGTTTCTGATTGTGTTGTTATCTCCTAGAATATAAATTCCAACATTTCCAATATTTGAAATTTCGCAATTTTCAATTACAACTGAATTGCACCAGTCAAAGTAAAGTGCAGTACGAGGTGTGAATCCAATACTTATATCTTTAATAACAATATCTGTTATGCCACGAGCTCTAATGATAGCATTAGAATGATTTGATAAAATAATTTCGGTTTTTGAATTAATTTTCCCGAAAGGATAAAAATAAAGGATCATTGTACTATTGTCTATATAGAAATCACCAGGATATCGAAGTTCTTCCAAAATATTATAAAATACTAATTTTGCATTTTTTCCTGTTTTTTGAGGTTTCGCAAAATAAACTTTATGATTGTCATAATCTATTTTAGAAACACTTCTTAAGCTTCCTGTATAATCATAATCCCAATATCCCCACGCCATAATATTTGGATGAAACTTCCACGTATAAACTCTGGGATCATTAATATCTACACCATCTGATATTGCAAATGGAAATGGACCCTTGTTAGAAATGTTGACAAAAGTAGAATATCTTGGATAATGTGCAAGATTCATTTGTTGTTTATCAATGTAAAGATGATTGCTTGATGAGTCGTAATTTATAAAATATCCAATTTCCTGAAATGGCAATTGACTTGTAATTCCATATTCTTTTAGATTTATTTGGTAGACTTTTTTCCTCACGCTTTCATCGAGTCGTTTAAGAATGCTTTCATCTTCAACTTTCTTGAAATTACCAAGCTTCACGCCGCCAACTAAACGAGCTTTTCCTTTACCATCAATTAGGGTGTGGTTTTTCTTAATTATAATAGGTTCTGTGATAAAATTCAAGCCTGGTTTAAATGTGATTTCATTATATTCTTCACAAAGAAATCACTGAATAGTAAATAAAGCATTGCACAAATTATTTTGTTCTAACTACTCATTTTAGATTTGCTATAGAACTCCTTCAATTTTGATTTTTATTAATTCCTATTGTTGAAAAATCAAAGAGAAATAAACTAATTTAATCAAATTCGGAAATACCCTATGAGGTAATATATAAATTCATATTCACGGTGCTTGGAAAAGAATCCAACAGAAATGAAGTTGTAAACTCTAAAAAAACGTGTTAAAGGTGACACTAGATAACGAAGATGGCCAAACGTTACATTTATTTATTCGATGAAGTTGACCAAGTTGAAGAAAAGGCCGGCTCTTGGGACGGTGTTCGCGCCCTTCTCGGTGGAAAAGGTGCAAACCTTGCTGCCATCTCGAAGGACGGAATTCCAGTTCCAAAAGGCTTCACAATTACAACTGAAGCATGCAACGATTACTACTCCCAAGATCCACCAGCTTTTCCACCAGGAATGTGGGATGAAACTTTAACATATTTACATAAACTCGAAGAACTTACAGGAAAGAAATTTGGCGATACAAAATTACCACTTCTCGTTTCATGCCGTTCAGGTGCTCGTGTTTCCATGCCAGGTATGATGGATACCGTTCTCAACTTAGGTCTCAACGATGAAACAGTCAAAGCAATGATCAATCTTACAAATAATCCACGTTTTGTTTGGGACTCCTTCCGCAGACTTCTCCAAGGCTACGGCGCAATCGTTCTTGGAATTCCAGATGAGGAATTCGAAGAAGCCCTTAAGAAAGGCCAAGAAGAAAAGGGTTACAAGAATGATGCAGACTGGCAGGCCGAGGATTGGGAGAAATTAACAGGAATTTACAAAGAAATCATCGAAAAACATACAGGAAATCCATTCCCACAAGATCCATTTGAGCAAATCCGTGGTGCTGTCGCAGCCGTTTTCGGATCATGGAACTCTCAGCGTGCTATCGATTACCGTAAGAAATTCGGATTCCCAGACTCATGGGGTACAGCTTGCAACATCGTTACCATGGTTTTCGGTAACATGGGTGATACATCAGCTACTGGTGTCGCTTTCAGCCGTAACCCATCAAACGGTGAAGCTTCATTGTGGGGAGATTTCCTTGTCAACGCACAAGGTGAAGATGTCGTCGCAGGTGTTCGTACACCAGAGCCAATTGCCAAACTCGAAGAGAAAATGCCAAGCGCATTCCAACAATTCGTAGAAATCACTAAGAAGCTCGAAAACCGCTTCAAAGATATGCAAGATATCGAATTTACAATCGAAAACGAGAAACTCTGGATTCTCCAGACTCGTAACGGCAAGCGTACAGCCGCAGCTACAGTCAAGATCGCATGCGACCTTGTTTCCGAAGGAATAATCACCAAAGAGGAAGCTCTCAAGCGTGTCGAGCCAGGCGATGTCGACCAGCTTCTCCATCCCCACTTTACAGCAGATGATCTCAAAGCTGCCCAACCAAACAAGTTTGCAGACGGTGTCAAGGCATCTCCAGGTGCTGCTGTCGGCCAGATCTACTTCACATCCGACAAATGCCAGGAAGAAGCCAAGAAAGGCAACGACGTCATCATGGTCCGTCAGTTTACAAAGCCAGATGATTTCGGAGGCATGTGTGTCTCCAAGGGCTTGTTCACTGCTGAAGGTGGCGCTGCCTCTCACGCCGCTGTCGTTGCCAGACAGATTGGTATCCCAGCTGTTGTCGGCTGCACAGGAATTGTCATCGATTTCAACGCTTTAACAGTTACCTTTGGAGATAAGACACTTCACGAAGGCGACTGGGCATCTGTCGATGGCTCTACCGGCCAAGTCTTTGTTGGCAAAGTTCCTCTCGTCAAGCCAAACCTTGAAGACCAGAAGGATCTCATGCAGATCTTGACATGGGCTGATGAAGTTCGCTCAGCACCAAACTCCCGCAAACCATGCAACGGCGGTCCATCACGCGGATTGAAGGTTTGCGCAAATGCTGATACACCGGAAGATGCAACACGCGCAAGATCATTCGGTGCAGAAGGCATTGGTTTGTGCAGAACAGAACATATGTTCCTTGGTGACAGATCCGCGGATGATTTTGGCTGAAAACGATGCAGAAAGAGATGCCGCGTTGAAGGAATTAGAAAATTTACAAATCTCTGATTTCACAGCAATGTTCGAAGCTATGACAGATCTTCCTGTTATCATCAGACTCATTGATCCACCACTTCACGAGTTCCTTCCTGATTTGTTGATCATAACAGAAGAAGTAACAACATTGAGGACAAAGAAAGAACTCGGAATAGCAATTGACGAAGAAGAGCTCGCAAAGAAAGAGAAAATCCTTGCCAAATGCGAACAACTCCATGAAACAAATCCTATGGTTGGATTCAGAGGTGTCAGACTTTGCTTGGTCATCCCTGGATTGCTCAAGATGCAGTTAAGAGCAATTGCAGAAGGTGTTTGCCAGGCATTGGAGAAAGGAGCACATCCACATCCAGAAATCATGATTCCTTTGACATGCCACAACAACGAGTTGGCAAGAATCAAGCCACAATACGAGGAGATCACAAACCAGATCTTCAAGGAACACAACGCTGACATTCACGCAATGTTCGGCACAATGATTGAAGTTCCTCGCGCAGCAGTCATCGCAGATAAGATGGCTGAATACGCCGAGTTCTTCTCTTTCGGAACAAACGATTTGACACAGATGGGATTGGGATTCTCAAGAGATGACGTTGAAGGTGGTTTCTTACAGCAGTACAGAGAGTGGGGAATCTTGGAGGCATCTCCATTCCAGACAATCGACCAGGAAGGAATCGGTCAGTTGATCGACATGGCAGTAGCAAGAGGAAGATCAACAAGAAAGGATTTAACTGTTGGTATTTGCGGTGAACACGGTGGTGAGCCGAAATCAATTGGTTTCTGCCATAAAGTAGGTCTTGATTATGTTTTTTGCAGCCCTTATCGTATCCCTATAGCTCGCTTAGCTGCTGCTCATGCTTGCTTGAATGAAATGGCTAAATAAAATCTTTTTTTATCTTTTTATTTTTTAAAAAATTAAGTTTATATTTTTTTCTTACAATAATTTTAATGGTGCACTTATTGCTTTGTGAAACACTCTTTAAAAGGGGAATATTGGTATGAGAATGGAGAGAAAATAAAACCTCAAACAGAAAAATTGAGGGTGTGTAAGAATGTGATGGATGCATCTTTAATTGATATGTTTCTGGAAAAAAATTGTGTAATGCATGAAAAATAGCGTGACTTCATTTTTGACAGTTTACAAATGTAAAGTGTTGCATCCTTAAAAACTTGGAAATATATACATTCATGAATTATCTTGTATATTAATTGAAAATCCATAAAACCCTAACAATATTTTTTCTTAAAAAAAACTATAAAAATATAAATAAAATTAATCGTTAAATAAAAATATTTTATATTAGAATTTTATTGGAAAAATAAAAAACTTAATATTTTAAAGAAATACTTAAATACTTGAATGTTTTAACTTTTACATTATCATATAGACTCTCAAATTATTAGCCATTTTGGCTGAGAACTATGGTCTGCGAGGTACATAGATAGAATCAGTACCTCGCAGACTATAGTTCTCTATATGGCGCCGAAAAATTTTTGGTGAAATGTCGTCGCATTTCACCAAAAATTTTTCGGCGCCATAGGAAGAATTGGAGGGTGTGAGATACTATTACATGCTATAGTACTCACACCCTCCAACTCCCAATCAAAATCGCATAAAATTTGCTACTTATCTTCAGATTACCTCCCATTATAAAATATATCATTGCTATCTCATCGTACTATATTTCCACCCTATTGTATTTAAAAATATAAAATTTTTTGATAATATATTTTTATATCTTAAATTTTCAAACAATATATTCACAGATAATATAATGGGAAATCTATCTCAACCTAGCCTTAAAGTACCAAACTGCTGCTTGCATTCTCACTCACAAATATTAAACATCCATCTCCAAAAAACTAAATTCTTCACAATTTTTTTAAAATTGAGAACATAAAAAACGTATGCATTCAATAATTTAAGATACTAACAAATATTAAAAACTTCAAAATATCAGATATTAACGTTTTTCAATTAAAAAAAATATCATTTTGCTTTTCAATTCGAACATAAATCTTAAATATTTTTAATTAATATCTGATTTACAGCATTATTATCCATTTATAAATCTGACAAATAAATGACAAAACCATCAGAAATAGTGTCACTTTTGTCAAAAGTGAAGTCACGCTATTTTTCATGCACAACACTGGAAAAAAATTGTATCTTGCGAAAAATGATTTGACAAATGTAAAAGATATATTATCCTATGAGATCATAATGTATTTGAAAATTAATGATTTTGCGCATCATTTACTTCTTATGATGCTGATTTTCATAAAACAGAAGAAATTTTTTGAAGCTAAAAAACTTGATAAAATCATGAAAATTCCATTCAATTTTCATTTTGAAACTCAATATTAGATCTGTGAAACATCATCACCAAATATTACCATACATATATTGCAATAACTTACTTCAACCTAGAATAATCATGATATGTATTGGTGAATATAAAATATTATCCAATCATTAATCTAAATAATTTAATATTATAAGATTCATCAATTGATCAAATAAGAATTAATCGGTTGATATCTATGAGTAATTATATTAAATATTTGAGAGTTTAAAGGTATAAAAAAAATAAATAAAATATCAAAGCAAATCAAATCAATGCACTTGTATCTAATATATTTCATAATAATATCAATACATGTGAAGATTCAAGCTTGTTAGATGTCCCCTTATCTTTATAATATAATTAATTTGATATGTTCAAATTTGAATATTTTGTATCAAGTATTAAAGACTGCATGAAAATGCAAGGGTTGGAATCATCACAGGCAGTTGGCTTATGCATGATTACAGTTTCATACCATTTGTTTACATCATCAAAACTATTGCCAAATTTAGTACCATAGGTTTCATAGTGAGTTGGAATATCTGAAAATAAATTTACACCCTGACCCAATCTATCTCCTTTTATCTTTACTCCTGCCGCAGCTAGAACTGTTGGCATAAGATCAAACGACGTAAACAATCTTTCATAAGTATTATTTGACTTTAATTCTGAATTGATAATAAGGTCATATGATGCTCTTTTATAGTTTTGCGCTTTAGCAATTTCTTGAATACCAATCTCCCTTGTCACATGATCACCAAATATCATGAAGACAGTATTATTGTACCATTGTTGATTTTTTGCCCAACTTAAGAAATTTTTCAATTGATTATCGGCACATTTTACCGCCTGAAGCATCTTATTATCTTCTTTAGGGCATAAATAGCACGAAGAACCTGGCTCATGAGTATCAAGTGTTGGCATGAATGCAAAGAAAGGTTTTCCTTGTTTTGATAGAAAGTTGAGTTCAGTTTTGAAAACGCCATATGTTAAATAATCATCGAACCAAAAACTATTGGTTTGATTTTTCAAGATTTCTCCCACAACATTAATTCTTTGATAATGATGATAATCAAATATATGACCATATCCCCAGTCAAATGGAAGACTTCCATATGTCGTTGAAGTAATATAATTCGCTTCGTTTAGTAACTCTCCTAAACATGTTAAATTGTTTAAATATCCTTCTGTCGTTCCAGTTGGCTCATTCTTCCCCATGAAAGGAGCACCACATAATGCCGCAAATGTGCTTCCTAAAGTAAACCCTGTTCTCGATATTGTACTCATTCCCCCAAGTTTTGGATATTTCAAATGTGAAAAATGGACATTATTTTTATCAAGTGCCATCTCTTCCATGTTCTTAATTATTATATTGTTTATACAACCACCATTCTTTGTCGAATAGTAAGTAGTATCCAAAGATTCCAAACCAATCATAATTATATTTTTCTTTTTTGTGGGAAATTGAAGAAGAGAGTTATGTGGTGTTACCATGTTTTTTTCAAAGAGAAAATCAGATTGCCCTACTTCTATAGGTTTCACAATGATTGAGAAGAAATATATAACTGAGGCAAGATATAAAAGAGGTAAAAATCGAAAATGCAGTCGAAAACGAATTGAAGTTTTCTTAATGATAAATGTTTTGTTACACAGAAAATAGTAATGAATCGTGAATGCGAAAGATGGAAGGAAACAAGTCAATGCATATTTTTTGAAAAATGTGACAAAAATGACATTGTTGATTTTGTAAGTTTTTCTTTGCTCTAGGAGCAACATGAAGAAATCTTCTTCAACAGGTCCTAATGTTTCATAAATATTCTTGAAAAATGCTGAAAGTAAAGTAAGTATAATTACAAAAGCTACTGTTTCAAAAATTAAATAAAATTTATATAAAGGCGTCAGTGTGACAATTTTATGAGAGGATTCGTTGATACTCCTTATATATATCCCGTATAATGCCGTAAATATAGGAATTACGTAGAGAAATTCATTTTTTTGCAATTTTGCGGAAAAGACAGTATTGAATGGTTTAATGAAAAAGAAGGAAATAATCCAAGTTATTGATACGGTAATCTTGATAATATTTGTTAAAATTTTTTTAAAAATAGATATAAAATTATTGCTAGCTGCTAGAATATCTTGAAACAAGCCAATGTGATAAAATAACACAGTAATGCTATAGAATATTATCAGCTTATGTATGGCCATGACTATTAATCTGAATAGAATCTAAAAATCAATTCAAATATAATTGAGATTGCAATAAAAAACTTTCAATATGAATAAGTTTTTTTAGAGATTCATTAGTCAAGCTGCATTGACGTATATATTTATGTATTAAGAAATTATAGAACGATAAAGATCATTTATTATTCTAATTCATTTGCTCTCAAAATTAACAAGTCAATTTAGTTTTGCGTTTTCAAAGCCATATTTTTGATTCTTTTTAGCCAAGCTAATTATATCCCGTGAAAAGGGATTAGCATTTATTTAAAAGTAATTTGTTAGTTATAATCGTGAATTTAAAAAAAATTAATATATTGGTACACAAACGAAATATTTTTAATATTATAAGATCATTATTTTTTGTGATAGTAAAGAATTTTTTCTGAGCTTTTAGAATTTAAATGTATTTATGATTTTCAAAATTACATTCAAAAAACGCGTCAGTAAACAAGTGTAAATTAAAAAGGGTTATCATTTCTAAATTGTAAAGACTATAATCGTAAAGACGACACTCACAAATTGGATTACTTGTCAAATAATTTTATTGCGCTGAAATAAATAATAAGAGTATTCGATAAAAATTTTCCGAGCTAATGAAAAAAAAAGTTCATGCAAATGTTAAGGGTGCACCCTTAAATATATAAAGTACTCACAAAATCTAGATTGAGAGGCGGTCAATGACTTTTGAGGGAAAATTAACGCATGGAATTTAATATTATTTAGGTTGATATTCTTGCTTATTATTTCAGAAAAATCTTAAAAATTTGAATATGAAAATTGAAAGCGATTCAAAAAAATTGCTAACATGTAAATTTTAATATCCTATGCATAATTTCATATTTTGAACATTTTTTATTTTTGTTTAAAACTTAAAATTTTGCGAATTTAATATAATTTATAAAATATAATACGTATATATATTTAAAATACACTAAATTTAATTGTTAATTGACGTTTTTGGGAATGAATTTTATCAAAACATGCCTGAATCCGAAAATTTGAAAGAACGAATTACACAATCATATATGTAGAATTCAAAATACAAACTTAAAGATTGTATACGTTTAAAATTATTCAGATTGTGTTTGATTTCCACTCATTCTGTTTCTTTTGAACTCTAACACTAACATTTCATGATGATACATGATCCATTTATACATGGTTGAATTGTTCCAGATTCTACCAGAAAATCAATCCAAATTTCTCAATGCATTCATGTTGATTAGACAAAATTTAAAATTTATCAGCCTGTTTCCAGAGAAACTCATATATTCCCTAATGAAATGTAATTTTTGCTACATTTATTTCAATCAAATTTCAAAAAATTGACTGCAGAGCTTGAAAAGGTGATGAATCATGTTGTTATTAGATGTACATATTAGATTTACTATTTCCAAAAAAATGCTCAAATTTGAATAGTTTTTAGAAAATTTGGAATTACACTCCTTACATTATATATAATTAAATGTTTAAATTTATTTATTTTTCCCTTTTAATTTTATAACGTGCTCTATCAAAACTAACCTCTCAATTGAAGGCCACAAAATCTAAGTAGTGAGGGTACACAAATTTTGTATGGAGTACGGTTCAATTTTTGAGAGCCTCACTACTTAGATTTTGTGACTACCTTATATATATAAAAATTATTTATTCAACATTATCTTTGATAGATCCAAACATTTCGAAATTACACATTCCCAAATAGTTGTTTCCACTTGTATTCAAGTCAAGAGTAGGGGTAATTTTAGCTAAAAGTGACACACCCGTGAAGGGTGTGATTACCGATCGGTAATTTCGACAGTTTAGAATTTAAAATTTTTTATGGAACTGTTGCGAGTTTCATAAAGAATTTAAGGAATATAAGCAAAGATTTGAATCAAAATCTTAGACCTAAGCCGATCGCTTCGCTCGCGGCTTTCTTTATTATTTTAAATTTGCATATTTCCATCAAAAGTTCATAAGGTAAAAAATTTCGTTTATATTATTGCAAAATAAAATCTTCATTATCAAAATAATATTAAATGATAATATAATATAATTTATAAACAACTATTATTTAATAAAGTTTAATTGCCAAGGTTCATCTAATTTTTTGATTTTTAATGTTTTATGAATTTTATTTATCATGTATATATCTAATGAAGATTATATATGTAGAAGATAAGTACCTTAATATGTACGTAAAAATTAATGAAATTTATTTTGAATGTAGAACCGAGCAATTTTCCCTGTCACTTTTAGCTAAAATTTGGGTTTGCCTTCAAGTCAATCTGTCTTATTCTAAAGTACCTGTAAAACCTAGATTTTGAGCATTTAAATGTTCCAACATTAAATTGGCCATTTAATATAGAATTGTCTCTTTGTTCATCAACCATTGACCAATTTGTTGCGTCATCTGATCCTTCGAGTACCCAGTTCTTTATATGGCTGCAGCTGTTTCCGTCAGACTTAATAGAGTACCACGTAGGAGCAATTCTTTTGTTTTTGAAGTCCATTTGTATCCAAGAGTCAGGAATGTTCCTTGTATAGAACCATTCGGTCCAATTGTAATCAAGGATGTTCCAGGGATGACTCCTTTCTTTGCTGCTACTCGTGATCTCTACAACCCTGGCCGCATGTGGATTTTGACCGGTTTCTTTGGTCATTTCATGGATTATACCTTCAAATGGATTTCCCGTGAATTCTATCTTCTTAACTTTATCATCTACGATTGTTTCTTTTGGTTTGAAACCTGTAAAGTACCTCTTTACGTCAATTGTCGATTGAACAATATCATGAGTTAATCTTTGAGTCAGAGCGGACCATACAGGGCCTGTAAGGTTTTTGTGGTTAACGACTTTGAGGAATCTGGTCACTCCTGATGTAGAAAGGTACTCAAAATTAATATTATGAAATAGAAAGGCCGCATTTTGGTTTTCGTTGGATTTACATATGTCAAATATGAGTTCGGCAAGCTAATCTTCGTTTTCAATCAGTAAATTCGGGCTTGAAAGTATCTGATCAATTAGATCAAGATCTAAATCAAGTAATTCGCTTCTAGGTAAGAATGATATGTTCTTTGCTGCATAATCAACTTCATCGGTAATGTTCAGAGTATGATTGGACTTTTCTTTAATGATTTGAATGATATTTTTTGGAGAATACGTAGATTTTGTAGAAATTGCTTTGTCAACAGACTCTACAATCTCAGAATTTTGTAATGCGGTTCCTATTTCTTTAATGTACTTTGAATTTTGGGAATTAATATCAAATTTTTGTCCGGAAAGAAGTTTTGCCATAAAAGATTCAATCATTGTTGGATTATTGCATGATGTATCAATCGAAAAACTTGAAATGAGCTGATCTTCTTTAAGTAATTTTGTAATTATCGGCGAAATAAATGCGGCTACGTATTTGGCGCAGTTAAATTGAATACTACCGATGTTAATGACAAAATTGTCTTCTTCATTCACAGGTAATGCAGCTATATTCGCAAGCCCATTCGAGGAAAGAGAGAAAGACATTTCACAATAAAATTTTTCAATTTACATCGACCAAAATTTATCTCAAATAATAAATATTTCAAACTTTCAATAGTTTACAAAATTTATATGAAATCCTTTACCAAAAATTGCAATAAAACTCAATATTGGACTTTAAATTTCGATCCATTAAAACTACCTATCTAAGAAACCTTCTGTATCCGATAATTTACTATCAAATTCCATTATAATATTTTTCTTATCAATATTATGATAGAAAAATGATTAAAATTTCATTTCTTCAGTATTTTTACATATGAAACATGCAGTTTTCTAATGCTGAACTAAACAAAACAAACTTTGAAACTAATTTTGAACATTTGACAGTTTTCCCCAATAAATGCTTTTCAAAACCATTCAAATTAGACTGAAACAACAATATCATTTTGGTGAAATGCCTTAAAGATAGTGTGAATTCATATGAATTACTGTGAATTCACACAATTTTGATGTGAATTCATACTTCTCAATTTCAAGAAAATTTTGAATTAACTGTAAGAACAAATCACTTTGCAACAATGCTGCGCAGAAAGATAGCCTCATTCGAAGCCGGTTTTCTTCCATCAAACTATAACATAGCCGTCGGACTCAGATGTAAGGATAAAAAGAGTGTTGACTTAGTTGTGGATAAACTTGCCAAATCTTTCTGCGGTTTCCACACACATATTGAAGGTGATGAATTTGTATTCAAGCCACGTGATGTCCCAGTATACAAATTACCATCAAATGTTACTTCCCTTCAAGATCAAATTTATTATTTGGAAAATAATTTCATGAAAAACCCATCCCAAATTATGAGTTCCATTGCTATATCGGATAATAGCGTAGTTTTCTCATCATCACATGGACTTTATGATGGAACTACAGTTAAAGATTTCATTAATAGTTTAAGTGACGGAAAAGAATTGCCAAAGCTCAAGCTTTCTGAATCTATTTTTGATCCATTCCTCAAAGAAATCCAATCCACAAAATGCACCATTCCAAATTACTTCACAGACAAAGATGCTCTCAGATTTACATCATCTGATAATGATTTCAAGAGTATTCCAGGAAATTCAACTGTTATCAATGAAATATTATATGACAACGAGTTCCAGATCTATGATAAGAAAGACAAAAAACTACACGGCTTGACGGAAGCTTCATTTTCTTCATTAGTTCTTGCTGTTAGTGCATTGAATGGAAAATTCGAAAAGACAGGATTGTTGGAAGTTATTGGAATGAGGAACAATGCAAGCAAAAATCTTGACCTCAGACAAGGACAGTACATTGCAAATATTCCAATCAGTATCAAGGCCACAACGGATACAACTATTAGAGAAATGATGAATCTTTACAGAAAGGACATGAAAGAGAAATTGGCAAACAAAGCAACATTCCAATTCATGAAAGGAATGAAGGACGGTTTCCCAGAAGGACCAATCATCAATGGAGCACCAATTATTTTGTCTTCAATTGGTAACTTCACTGTACATGGCCCATTAACTGATGCATATATGATGACAACATCATATGGTGATGTTCCATTTGCACATTTGCCAATGATTATGTACAGTGTTGATGATGGTAAAAAGAAGAAGTTTGTTTTATCTTGCAACTATTCAACAAAGACGCTTAGTTCAAGAGAAGGAACAGCATTTACTGCACTTACAGCATATTCCTTGAAGAATATCGATCTGAACATGAAGATTGGAGAAGCAGTCGATAGATTAATTGAAGAAAAGAAGAACATTTATAAGAAGACAAATACAATTGATAGAGTTATAAAGTTCTAAATAAATTTTTTTTTTGTGTGTATGTGTCATTTAGCTATTCCGTAATTCCATTTCTATTAAGAACTTCAACAATTTCTTGTTTTCCAAGACTAATTGCATATTGGAGGGGAGTTTCGTTATTTTTGTTTTTAGCATGTTTATCTATATTGGGATGCGAGATAAGAAATTTATAGGGTTGTTAGATTCCCGACGATAGGTGTCTTGGAAGATTTGCCTGGTGTCATCATAGTGTCTTGAAATCAAAAATTTTATTTTGGAGTTAGTTTTATTGATTTTTCAATAAAAAACATTTCTAAAACAAGAAAATAAAACGATAAAATATTTATATTTTATATAAGGATCTTATATATTTAAAATAAATATCATTTTATTTTTTTCATTGGTGTCTGTCAAACCATAATACACTATTCAAAAATTCAATGTGTCTTGCGGTTTCAAAAGACACCTTCAAATTGAACGATAGCACAGACACTATTGAATTTTACCCATTTTATTTAGTTTTTACCCTTTTTATTTTTAAGAATTAATGACTGAAACAGCCGTTTTGCTATGACCTCAATCACTTTTATTTATTATTTTAAATATTATTTAATTTTATTATTTGAATAGGCCAACTTATATTTGAGAAGCTCAATTTGAGACCACTTAATACATTGAAATATCATAAATATTGAAATATTAAAAAGTGTATTTCAAAATATTGAAATTATAAAAATTTATAATACTGAAATTGAGACAAATTAATAATTTCAATGTGTTTTTTTTTTTTTGAAATAACTCTCAAATATTATTTTTTTGTTTATTTAATGATGAATAAATATGATTGCTTTAGTCAATCATAAAAACTAATTTAAGTTTAAAATAATGAAAGGATAATTTGATCGTTTTTTAAAATACAATTATTTTTGATGATTTGCAAGAATCTTTGAAAAGAATATAATATAGGTTCTATTTTTGTAAAATTTATCCAAATCATGTATTACATAAATTACGATTAAAACGATGAAAGAACCAAAAAGTGTGTTTTGTGTTTTGTTGTTGCGTGTTCGATGCGGGATCCTGTTATTTCCGAAATCGACAAAAAATTTGGAAATTTAATTTCCGAAATCGAAACTATATTAATGTTTTTAATATTCTTATATCAAAAGGATTAAAGTTCATTAAGAGAAAAACAATTCTTCTTCTTCAATCTATTGGCGCATTTATTTCTACACGCCAATAAGGAAGGGAAAATTATAAGACACCATGGTGTCTTCAAAACGCTAATTTTTGATATTTTTAACAACCCTAGAAATTTACAAATATCTATACGATTATAATTAATGGCATCATGAAGAGGTGTATAATCTTCGTTATTCTTGTCATTAATATCAATAAAGTTCAGAGCAAATTTTACACCTTCGAGATTTCCTTCTTGACAAAAATAATGAAGAATTGTTCTATTAGTGTAAGATCTACTGCGAATATCCACATCTTGATTAAACAAATACTTTACAAGACATAAATTATTCTGCCGTGCGGCTTCGAGAATCATATTTTTTTCATATTTATCTCGAACATTAATATATTTTTCATCAACAGCAAATTTTATTGTTGTAAGATCTTCTTCCAATGATGCTTTTTTAAGAACTTTATATATTTGATCGAAACTATCTTTTGTCTTATTTAAACTTCTTAAAATTCTTACATTTTCATCTGATTTATCGACTTGATGGAATTCTTCGATATGAGATAGTTCGAATTTATTAGAAATAGTTTTTAAATTATAATCAGCGACATTAGAAAGTTGAAGTTTGCATGGAACTGCTTCTGCACTATGGTAATTGATCTTAGAAATTTGAAGCTTATGAGGAATTGATGAACGTTTAAGAAGTGCACATCCGAAGACTTCATTTGAGATGGATTCTAAACTGTGTTTTTCTGAAAAATCTTTGATTGATTTGATAATATTATTACTGCAATATTCAACTCTGACATAAACAAGGAGTGAAAAGAATTAATTATCATACTCACTCAGTGTTATGATTGTATTGACTAATGAATCTTCATTTGATACCTTGAGAGATTCAGATGTCAAAACTTGCTCAAAAAAGTCGTATCCAAATCTTTTGATAATATCGATCTTATACTCTTCTTGAAGATCAAACATTTTTGAAGCGAAAAATGAAATGCATTCTTTAATCTTTTCTGTATCTTTTTGAATTATATAACAATCATAGATATCAATAACGTTTTCTTCATTAATTTCCTTGTGAATTGACATAATATGCTCACAAAACTTGTCTGTCAAGAATTTAATCCCGAAAGCTTTGCTAATTTCAAATATATCTCGAAATTGTTTTTGATTATTCTCGTATCTGAGAATTCCAGTTTTGAAAAATTCTGATATGATGTTTATTGAATTGCTGTATGATATATTTAAAAATTTACTAACTGATTTAACTGAACAATCGCGCAAATATTCATCATGTACTAAATCTGAAATCATAATTGAGACAAACTTTGATATTTCTATTCTTTCATCATTAATAATGAAGGTAAATGGTTCTTTATTTTTAATATCATTACATCACTCGATCTCCGAATACCTAATTGTGATGAAATTCATAATATATTTTAAATTGTTGGTTTTTTTTATCATTTCACTTCATCAATTGAAATATTGGGAACTATACTCTGGTTTCGAATTTCACTTGATATCATTTGGAAGTTCACGCAATACATATTTCTATCTTAACTAAAAAGATTAATTTGGAATTACTGCACTTTATTTTGCAATATTTTCTGTTGATGGGAATTCAATTTTGCCAAATTTAGATAGATCTATCAATTAATAAGTAACTTTGAGCGTAAACAACTAGTTCCCTGGTCATTTTAGAATATAACTTGAGCATATAATGAATAATAAAATCATATTGAATGTTTTTTATATTTACATATGGACAAACAGCTCTTCATGTTGCAATTAAAAATAATAAAGAAATCGATGAAGTTCTTGTTTCTTACGGTGCAAATATCAATCAAAAAATATCAAAACAGAAAAAAAACACTCTTAATTATTTGAATCAAATAATTTCCTTTAAAACATTCATTTTTTGAACACTTAATATCATTATTTGGATCCATATTATTGAACCGTATTAGATACAATTCACAAAGATATGCATAATGGTAAAGATAATTATATTTAGACCCGTTCAAATTATTTTCAGAAATATTTAATGCCTCATTATCGTTAGATGTTAGATTATCATAGAACGAATTTTTAACAGTTACATGAGAATTATAATGAATGTAAAAAAATTGTCCGTTTCCCAAATCTCCTAATATTGAGCATCTATTTAATGTCAATTGAGCGAACGCATCAATAACTGCATTATCTCTTCTTAACTGAAAGTTTTTTAAAATATATAAAATAGAGCTGTATAAACTCCTTTTCTTTTGTAAAGTCTCTTATTCAAATTTTTGATAGAGGTTCACTCAATATTGAGGCAGAAAAACGATAGGGAGACTTTACGTAGGAAAATGGGTTTATTTTGAGGATTGAAAATTGTGAACCTAAGACGCACACTTTTACATATTATCTAATATATGATGATATTAAGGGATATTTGTTTTTTTTTTATGATATTTTGAAAACTTTTAGAAAATACAAATCAATCTATTAATTGAATATATCCTTTTATCTATATTCAAAGAATCAATTGATTTAAAATGATTGGCAAAAAAATCTTGAATAATACAAGTATCTTGGTGAAAATTCTATCGCCATCGGCTTTTCTATTGTTACTGTATCATTTTATATCCATGGACTTAATTATTCATAAATTATATATCCGAAATCTTTATGGTCATTGTTTTTTTAAATGTACAACATAGTATTTTTTTTCTAATGAATTTAAGGGGTATTTTTATGGTTAATTATAAGTGTACCCTTTTTAAAAATTATTAATGTCGGACCAAGACGTTCATCCAAACGAATTCAGCAAACTGCGAAGTATCTACAAATACTACATAGATTCATATCTTGCATTGTATCAGCTGAAAACGGAAAAAGAAGAAGAATTAAAGTCAATTTACAAAATGATCAAAGCAGAATTGATTGATTCAAAGAAATATCTCCCCACAATTGCTATTAAAGAAATTTTAGATATCATTCTGTTTAATAATCGCTATACAAAGTCATATTTATTTCTTGCCAAACTCATATCTAATGATTACCATGTCACAGCGGTCAGCAATGTGGCAACTATTCTAAACTTCCTGTTTTATAAAGAATATGGAATTAAATTAGACAAATCTGCCAATTTTAAAGAATTTAACTCAGAAAATCTGGATATTCATACAAAAAATACAATTTACAGAGCTATTATGTATAATGACAAAGAAAGATTCATCTCATTCATAGAGCAAGAAGGATTTGATAAAAATCAAAGACTTAATAGTAAATTATATCCAGATTATTATAGTGGATATTCATTACTTGAATTATGTTGTTACCATGGAGCTGTTGATTGTTTCAAGCTGTTAAGAACAAAATTTAAATCCGAAATAACTCAAAAATGTCTTCAATTTTCATTTTTAGGAGGAAATTCAGAGATCATGAGTGAATGTTTGAAATATCAAAAACCAGATGAAAAATGCATGAAATGTGCAATTATTTCACACAACATTGATTTTGTTACATTCTTGATGAATGAATACAATATAGAGATAGATTTACAATATTGTGGAATGTATAATAATCTTGAATCATTTTTAGTTTATTTCGATCAAACTAATGATATAAGCAAATGCTTTGTTTATTTATCGATTTTTAATATTCCATCCCTTTTCGAATACTTCCTTTCACGCGGTGCGAATATCAATGAAAAATTTAAATATGGAAAAACCGCACTTCATATTGCAGCAATGTTTAATAGTAAAGAAACTGCAGAATTTCTTATTTCACATGGTGCGAATATCAACGAAAAAATTGAAGATAGAAAAACCTCACTTCATATTGCAGCATTGAATAATAGTAAAGAAACGGCAGAAGTTCTTATTTCACATGGTGTGAATATCAATGAAAAAAAAATAAATATGGAAAAACTGCTCTGCATTATGCAGTAGAAAATAATTGTAAAGAAACTGCAGAAGTTCTTATTTCACATGGTGCAAATATCAATGAAAAAGATGATGATGGATATACTGCTCTTCATATTGCAGCATGGTATAATAGTAAAGAAACGGCAGAAGTTCTTATTTCACATGGTGTGAATATCAATGAAAAAGATAAATATGGAAAAGCTTCACTTCATTATGCAGCTCAGAATTGTAGTAAAGAAACCTCAGAAGTTCTTATTTCACATGGTGCGAATATCAATGAAAAAGATGATGATGGATATACTGCTCTTCATATTGCAGCATGGTATAATAGTAAAGAAACGGCAGAAGTTCTTATTTCACATGGTGTGAATATCAATGAAAAAAAAATAAATATGGAAAAACTGCTCTGCATTATGCAGTAGAAAATAATTGTAAAGAAACTGCAGAAGTTCTTATTTCACATGGTGCAAATATCAATGAAAAAGATGATGATGGATATACTGCTCTTCATATTGCAGCATGGTATAATAGTAAAGAAACGGCAGAAGTTCTTATTTCACATGGTGTGAATATCAATGAAAAAGATAAATATGGAAAAGCTTCACTTCATTATGCAGCTCAGAATTGTAGTAAAGAAACCTCAAAAGTTCTTATTTCACATGGTGCGAATATCAATGAAAAAGATGATGATGGATATACTGCTCTTCATATTGCAGCATGGTATAATAGTAAAGAAACGGCAGAAGTTCTTATTTCACATGGTGTGAATATCAATGAAAAAAAAATAAATATGGAAAAACTGCTCTGCATTATGCAGTAGAAAATAATTGTAAAGAAACTGCAGAAGTTCTTATTTCACATGGTGCAAATATCAATGAAAAAGATGATGATGGATATACTGCTCTTCATATTGCAGCATGGTATAATAGTAAAGAAACGGCAGAAGTTCTTATTTCACATGGTGTGAATATCAATGAAAAAAAATAAATATGGAAAAACTGCTCTGCATTATGCAGTAGAAAATAATTGTAAAGAAACTGCAGAAGTTCTTATTTCACATGGTGCAAATATCAATGAAAAAGATGATGATGGATATACTGCTCTTCATATTGCAGCATGGTATAATAGTAAAGAAACGGCAGAAGTTCTTATTTCACATGGTGTGAATATCAATGAAAAAGATAAATATGGAAAAACTTCACTTCATTATGCAGCTCAGAATTGTAGTAAAGAAACCTCAAAAGTTCTTATTTCACATGGTGCGAATATCAATGAAAAAACTCAAGATGGAGAAACTGCACTTCATATTGCAGCATTGAATAATAATAATGAAACCTCAGAAGTTCTTATTTCACATGGTGCGAATATCAATGAAAAAAAATAAATATGAACAAACTTCTCTGCAGTATGCAGTAGAAAATAAATGTAAAGAAACTGTCGAAGTTCTTATTTCACATGGTGCGAATATCAATGAAAAAGATGATGATGGATATACTGCTCTTCATATTGCAGCATGGTATAATAGTAAAGAAACGGCAGAAGTTCTTATTTCACATGGTGTGAATATCAATGAAAAAAAAATAAATATGGAAAAACTGCTCTGCATTATGCAGTAGAAAATAATTGTAAAGAAACTGCAGAAGTTCTTATTTCACATGGTGCAAATATCAATGAAAAAGATGATGATGGATATACTGCTCTTCATATTGCAGCATGGTATAATAGTAAAGAAACGGCAGAAGTTCTTATTTCACATGGTGTGAATATCAATGAAAAAGATAAATATGGAAAAGCTTCACTTCATTATGCAGCTCAGAATTGTAGTAAAGAAACCTCAGAAGTTCTTATTTCACATGGTGCGAATATCAATGAAAAAGATGATGATGGATATACTGCTCTTCATATTGCAGCATGGTATAATAGTAAAGAAACCTCAGAAGTTCTTATTTCACATGGTGCAAATATCAATGAAAAAGATGATGATGGATATACTGCTCTTCATATTGCAGCATTGAATAATAGTAAAGAAACTGTCGAAGTTCTTATTTCACATGGTGCGAAAAAATAATGTTCTTACATGAGATATTCTTTAGTTTTCTGGTATTTTCGGAGAAGATTTTCATTAGGGGGTAAATTAATCGTTTTGACGCATTATTTGCACTTGAGTTTGTTAGATGTGATGAGTTATATTATATTCATCCTCATCATTTTAATATCAAAAATCAATTATAATCGAAAAACAGTAAGCTAAGCTAAAGAATTTTTTTATTTGAAGATAAAAGATGAGACATCCTTAGTTGTAAAATGAAATCAATTTATGAGATCCTATTGTTGATGAACATATCAGCATTCTTCAATGAAACTATGCTAACAATGATCACCAGGATAACGCCTCAGTTTTTATGCTCATAATTAATTTTAAAACTTGTACTCATATGATAGTAAAATGTGCACTACCTTTTGATTGATCGATTTTGGATCATCTTAATAGCATTAACTCACAGATGTAATAGTAAATAAATAATCTATATTAAATAGTAATATTTTATAATTTTATTTTATTTAGATCATAACTGATTTAGGCTTACTGTTCTTATCAACAGTTATGTATGGGCAAACTATCATACTACTAACCTTAGTTTCATCCTTAATTGTGCATCCTCGACCAGTAACTGTCGTCTCTGTAACAGAAACGTTGTTTCCGATCTTGTTGCGCCATCCGATGATGGAGTTCTGTATTGTTGTGTTCTCGCCGATCACTGTTCCCTCAAGAATTACGCATCTGTCGAGTTTTGAGCCTTTTCCGATTGTAACGTGTGGGCCAATAACAACGTCGTCGCCAATGTGTACTCCTTCGGCGATTGTAGATGTTTCGTCGATGAATGACTGTATTTTGAGAGTTTCTTTTGCTAAAGGAATTGCTTCAAGGAAAGCCTGTGGAGTACCGATATCCATCCAATGTCCTTGAAGTTTCATGACGTGGAGTTGCTTTCTTGAGGCGATTTCTGGGAAAATTTCGCGTTCAATTGAGCAGAACTTTTCAGGGATCAAATCGACTACGGATGGCTCTAATATGTAATGGCCAGCATTAATAGCAACGTTCTTGTTGTTTTCTGTTGGTTTTTCGCGGAATCCGGTGACAACTCCTTCTGCGTCTGAATCAATGACACCGTAACGTGATCCATCTTCAACATTGATGCTCATGATTGTAGCTTCGCCATCGTGATTCATGTGGTACTTTAATAAATCTGTGAATGGATAAATAGACATAATATCTGAGTTTAACATGAAGAATCTATGTCCTTTCAAGTGCTTTCTAGCAAGAGCGATTGGTCCTGCAGTTCCTAATGGTTCAATTTCGATGGATGGGATAACTTCAATTCCTGGGTGAGCTTGTTGGTAACTTTCGATGAATCTCTTAAGATCATCTTGGAGTTCGGAAAGAGCAAGAATGATCTTCTTGCAGTTTGCTGCAACTAACGCGTCAAGCATGAATTCGCACATGTGTTTGTTGCAAAACTCAACTAATGGCTTAGAACATGTGAAAGTAAGCGGTCTGAGACGTGTTCCAAAACCACCAACTAAAACAAGTGCTGCAAGTGGAAGATCCTGTTTAGGCATCCGAAAGAAAAAGTGTAGTTTTTTATCTCAATTATTTGACAAATAGAAAATTCAGAAGTCTAACCGATTGGAAAATTTATAATTCTTGAAAAGAGTTGGTCTCGAAGAGCTAGCCAAAGAGAATTTCATTGATCTCCTGAGCTATTTCTTTCTTAGTTATTACATCGCACAACATGTAATGATGATAAGTGTAGTAATAAATAGTTTCTGATGATCAATTGCATTAAGGCCCAACACTAATTCCCTGCAGCTGTTTGGACTTTCAAACTAGAGACACCTTCGATACTTTCCATTGACTCTTACCGGTTATCTCACGCCTGTCTCTCTTACTTTTGCGTCTATTCAGATTCATCTTTGCAATCCCAACACTTATTGTATACCACTACTTCTTGACCCATCAAAGGTGTCGGATGTGATTTTACTCGTAAAGGTCAAAGCATTCCCGTCAAATCGTAAAAATGTCATAATCTCATGGTGGACCATAGCTGGAGTCACCGCCGATAATCTACTTGCTGAGATGCTACGCAGCCTTTGGTCTGGCCAATCATAGTGCTGCTCCATCCACATCAGCAAGTGATTTCAGCATCAGATCTCCGCTTAGTCTACCATGAGAGTTCTGCATGCCAGAAGCGCAATATCTATGCAGCCTAGCTGCAATGGTATAGTAGCTAGGCTGCATGGATACTGCGTTTATTGAGATATTAGTTATACGTCATTGCCCTCATACTTTATACTGCTGCTTCCAGGTCCTTAACGTCCCAGGAATGTAGAATTACTCGAATGAGGCAAAGTCCTTCCGAAGTCTCGCATTTGATGAGAGGCCTCGGAAGGACTTTGCCTCATAATACTTTTACTACAGCTCCATAGTCTCCAAAGGGCTAGGGATTGTGTAATTAGTCGGATATGGCAAGCTGCTCTAAAGTTTCTTTCTCATCTAAAATTCGATAATCTATTTTATCTGGTTTGACTTGTTGGGTCATTTATGTAAGAATAAAAAAATAAATTATTTTAAGGGTCCACTGTAAAAATTGAAAGTCTCTCAAAATTGAGAGGCGATTTGCAAATAATCGTTATCGTCATTTTTCGAAAATCCACTTTTCCTAGTGTTCTGATTAATATTATGTGAATACAACAATGAAGCATATGTTTCAATAAGATGGTAATATATTCTATCACTTCAAATCTCATAAAAATTGCAAAATCAGTGAGTTTTATAAGAACATGATTTTTTCGAATTTTTTCGCTTTTGGATGCGTGTTTTGAAAAATAGATATTTTCGAATTTTATTTTATCTTAAGTATAAGTTTTATTATTAGGAATTTTTTTTTGACCTATTTCCAATTTATTATTCCAATGTTTTTCAAGGAATTTAATTGAGAAGAAATTAGGAATTTCGCTTTAATGCCATTACAAACTAATATTATATGCATAATATATATATTTATTGAGGCTAATGCCGGGATATCTGCATTTAAAAAAAATTCAAAGAATTGACAATTGGATAGCACAAATTTAATTCCCTGGACAAAGTATTATTGTTTATATATTCAAACCATTATCCTTAGTTTAGATATGTTGGCCAAAAATTTTCGTGTTATTTTTTGTGTTTAAGCATAAATTATGTATTTACTTATGAAAAATAAGCATTTTATTCATTATCATAAAGATATACCATAACAATTGATAAATTTTTTAAAAAAAATTGTGTATTTTAGTGGGTATTATTCTGGATAATGCCAATTTTTACAAGATTTAATATTAACCATATCAATAGCCGACTCAATGTAAAAATTTAGATATTATTTTTTCATTAATCAAACTTTGATAAATTTTAGTATAATGAATGATTTTGTTTCGTGTATGATACAGAAATGAAAAGCTTAATTAATATCATTTTGCATTTTTTAAAGGATGTTAGAGTACATCTACATTAAAAAATCAGATTTGAACTGCGATACTGCATCAAATTGATGCATATCTGATAAGGATCTCAAAAGAGTAAAGTTAATTTTTTTGTGTTTTTTTAAGTTTTGGGCCTTAGTAAAACACCATCTCGAGCAATATTTTTGGGACGACGATAGACTTTATTTGGCCTTACAGTGGACCCTTAAAAATAACTTTAATTTTTTTAAGGTCGTATTTAAAAAAAGTCACTTTTTAATATAGACTCAAAAGGTTTGCCAAAAAGATATTTAAAAATTTAAGGGTGCACCCGTATGTACGTTTATTTGAGAGGAGGAGGATTACCCTCTCAATTTTGATGGATTCGTTAGTTTATTTCTCGATGAATATGCAATAAAATTTGATTTTTACCTTATCAATATACTTCATATAATATACACATGTTCATGTAAAAACTTTTTTCCAAAATCCTCAGGAATTAAGGGATTTTTGAATTTTAAGAATTTTTTTCGAATTTTTTCGAAAAAAAATATTTTTCAGAACAGCCTTAACGGCTAAGATTAGGAACAATGTTAAGTATCAAAAAGAAAGGAGGTCTGATATAGACAACATATATCGTTGAAGGTTGAAAAAATCTCTAATATTTGAGCCCAAAATTTCAAATTTTTAATTTTTGAAAAAAGAGGCACCTGTATGTACGTTTATTTGAGAGGAGGAGGATTATATTTTTGAAAGGGTGAAACATTATGAATATGTTAATTATATAATAATATGTATTATTATAAAAAAGAAAAAATAAAGCACGTTAAAATTTTTCTTTTCTTGATTTTTTTCAAAAATCTACTTAGAATTATGCAAAATATGACTAAATAATTATAAATTTCAAGTTAAATTTTAATTTTGATAAATAATTTAAATTTCAAAATATCAAGTTCAGTTCGACTATATGTTATGTAATTCCTCAATAAAGTGCCAAAACCCTATTAAAATATATGAACATTTTCAACATTTTAATGTTTTTATTTAAAAATTTGTTGGAATATGAGCTTCAAACAATTATTATGTAAATAAAAATAATTAAATATATGTATTTATTCGTATTACAACCGTAGTAAGTCGATTCTTCCTTTCTTCTACTGAGTTTTGAATTTGATTTCGAATTGTAAAGAGATTCAAAGGGAAAATACTAGAGGATAAAAACTACCTCCATGAAAGGGTCATAATGGAGTCAAGTTGTATTTTTTGATATTTTTTGCTTTTCGAGCCTAAATATGTTATAGACCGAAAATAGATTTTTTCGGTTTTCTCTTCAAATAATTGAAAGAATGATACTATTATAGGTTTATTATATATAGCATATAATCATGCTATAGCCGAAAATTTATAAGTTTTGAGAAGATTGAATATAACACAAATAAATTTGAATGTAAGTTAAATTGCTTGTTGTTTTTAATAGCTATTTAATGAGAAATCCAATATTGCAAAATTCAAATTGAATGATTGAAAAGAACAGAAAAAGTCATCTTTTCAATTTCGAATATGTTTCATTGTATTTATAATTATATGGCAAATAAGATATTAAACTTGATTTTTGAAGGAAAATTCACAAAATTGAATAAATTTAAATAATTTTTATTCAAAAAATAACTAGTTATTTTGAGTTTAATACTAATTATCTATTCAAACTCCAAAGTTTGTAATTTAAAATATTTTGTGAGATAGATTGAATTAATTCAAGGTTCTTTTCAATTAATATTAATGACCATATTACGCATTTCGAACATTCTAAACCAAATATATCAAAATGGGAGACGAATTTTAAATTTGCTAGACATGGGGAGTTGTCTGCAAAGTTTTAGCTCTTATCTCTAACAAAAATTAATTTTTAAAAAAAATGACCGAATACGTTTCACAGCGAGAAAAAAAAAAAAAGGCAAGATAGAATTTTCTAGACATAAAGAAGTTGTTTACCGAGTTTTAGCTCTTATCTCTAACAAAAAATTAATTTTTAAAAAAAATGACCGAATACGTTTCACAGCGAGAAAAAAATAAAAGGCAAGATAGAATTTTCTAGACATAAAGAAGTTGTTTACCGAGTTTTAGCTCTTATCTCTAACAAAAAATTAATTTTTAAAAAAATGACCGAATACGTTTCACAGCGAGAAAAAAAATAAAACTGTACACTGATTTTCATTTTCATTTCCAGTCACTTTACTTATTATTTTTTCTTTTTTTTATTTTAATTATAAATTATTTCATAATACGTTTATTTACGTTACCTTTTTCTTTATTCTTTTGAATTCCATACTAGACACTTATAGAATATTTTGATTGTTAACGTACTTCATTAGAATGAATCCTTACAAAGGGTATGTCGATCGAATTTACCTAATTGGTATTTCCAATCAGATTGAAGAAGGTAAAATGACATGGGAAGAAGCTTGCACCCATGTTCCCATCGCCCCAACCCTTCAATCAAATGATTTCAAATATTTGATGTTTCAAAATCTTTTTTACAAAATCAATTTAGCTTACAGAATATCCCATTGCCTAAAGGCAAGAAGGGTCGTAGGGTCAATCCCTACGACCAAATCAAAGCTCTTGCTGTGATACATGACCACTGGGCCTTTCCCTGTGGTCAAACAAAACAATGGAAACGTTTGAAATTACAACAAATTGATGTATCTTATAGAGAAGGACGCAGATACTTCAAAGAAAATCATTTCACCAAGACGCGATTAGAGCATGCCGGGCCAGAAACAGCAGTAAGATATTGGGCGCTTTCACCCAATCATATCTGGCACGCAGATGTTCATTATTTTAGGGGTGTTCGTGGCCAGTATATTTATGGCATAATCGACAATTTTAGCCGCAAAGTCCTAGCGTGTATACAAATACCAGATATGCTGGCAGCGACGACAGCGAACGTTGCGGCTTCCGCCTTCATTGAATTTGGCGCCCCTTATTGTTTCTGGACCGACAACGGTTCAGAAAATAGGGGCGCCTTTCAAGATCTACTTGATCTTTGGGGCGTCCAATGGCGGCATACAGACTCTCATTCTCCCTACCAAAATGGGAAGATTGAGAGATTCTGGCCGACATTGGAGCGCTGCCAAAGCATTCAGGCTATTCCTGCCTTTATTTGGGAGTACAATAATAACACACCGCATGAAGATCTCCCAATTAATCCATTAACTGGAACAAATTACACGCCAAATCAAATGTATCAGCTGAAACCGAAATACACAAATGCAGATACAGAAAGGTTGTGGCAAATATGGGATACAGATACAGGCATGACCGCTGTTGACACATTCACAGCGTAATAATAAACATAATTTTTTAATTTCATTTTTAACAAGTTTTTTTAAATGTATGTAATGAATAATTCATTAGAATATGATAATGCACATTGTAACAGAATAGAACAATCACCAAATTTTTTTTGAAATTAAAAAATAAAAGTAAAAAGTATAAAGTAATGTAACCAAAAAAGATATTTAAAAGAATTTTGGAAAAAACAGAATAAGGATAATGATATTATTTTAGATACACAATCGATGTACTGAAGAATAATCCGGTAAAATGATGATATAAAATTAGATTATTTTACAAGTAGCTAAAAGAATAAAACTATAATATAAAATAAATGAAGTTTAATGAAACAATAAAGGTTAAATAAATAATAAAGATTTTTATTTTATATCAGTATTGAGAAGAAGTAACAGCTGACAATTGGTAGACAACTTTTTTATGTCTAGAAAATTCTATCTTGCCTTTGATTTTTTTCTCGCTGTGAAACGTATTCGGTCATTTTTTTAAAAATTAATTTTTTGTTAGAGATAAGAGCTAAAACTCGGTAAACAACTTCTTTATGTCTAGAAAATTCTATCTTGCCTTTTATTTTTTTCTCACTGTGAAACGTATTCGGTCATTTTTTTAAAAATTAATTTTTTGTTAGAGATAAGAGCTAAAACTTTGCAGACAACTCCCCCATGTCTAGCAAATTTAAAATTCGTCTCCCATTTTGATATATTTGGTTTAGAATGTTCGAAAATGCGTAATATGGTCATTAATATTAATTGAAAAGAACCTTGAATTAATTCAATCTGATCTCACAAAATATTTTAAATTACAAACTTTGGAGTTTGAATAGATAATTAGTATTAAACTCAAATAACTAGTTTATTTTTGAATAAAAATTATTTAAATTTATTCAATTTTGTGAATTTTCCTTCAAAAATCAAGTTTAAATATCTTATTTGCCATATAATTATAAATACAATGAAACATATTCGAAATTGAAAAGAATGACTTTTTCTGTTCTTTCAATCATTCAATTTGAATTTTGCAATATTGGATTTCTCATTAAATAGCTATTAAAAACAACAAGCAATTTAACTTACATTCAAATTTATTTGTGTTATATTCAATCTTCTCAAAACTTATAATTTTCGGCTATAGCATGATTATATGCTATATAATATAATAAACCTATAATAGTATCATTCTTTCAATTATTTGAAGAGAAAACCGAAAAAATCTATTTTCGGTCTATAACATTTCTAGCCTAAATAGGTAGCCAAGATAATGCCTAAAAATAAGGTTCTAAATTCTGAAGTTTACATGATCCGCTCGTGTGCACCCTTAATGGTTTATTTTTCTAAAATTTTTTTATTTTTTTATTTCATTAGGTATGGGCTGAGTGTAAATGTCTTACGATTTTGAAAATTTTTTAAATCTTGATTTATTCAAAAACGTAAGAATAAAAACCGTAAGAATCATACATTTTTTACTTCATATGTTAAAAAAAATGATACAAAATCGCTCGATATTGTATGAATTCTTACGTTTACAAAAAAAGTCACAAAACCCATCATATCCTACTACTAATTTCGGCTGATGAATTTTTGTCTCAATTTATTAAATCTTCACATTCTTGCCTAGGATTGGTATTGAAAATTACACTCATAATGAAAATTGCCAATATTTTGAAAGGATTCATTTTCTTTGAAACAAAAATTTTTAATTAAAATAATAGGATTTCGGCAGGGCTCAAAGGGATACCACAAAGATGATTATGTTTCATGGCAACTTTCTGCTATTTTCAAGAAAAAAAATATTGTATATATAAATTCTCCGATTTTATTTATAAAATAACTTCATTAATATACTATCTTCTTAAGCATTCTTCTTCTTCATGGAATCCTTAAGCTGGACCTTGCAAGCATAATATGCTGTAATGATTGTGATGAATGATTCGCAGATTGAGAAGAAGCACCAGATGGCAGAGCGCTCACCATCGGAAACACCGCCTCTGAAGAGGGTAGCAATGAATGGTCCAGTCAAGAACAAAACAATTGACTGCCATCTAAGGCCAAGAACGAATGGAGCAACGAACATGAAGAGGAAGTGAGCAGCTGTGTTCGGGAAATAGTAAGAGGACTTCAAAAGCTTGAATGTCCACTTAAGATGATAAATTCCGTTTGTTGTGCACATCTTTTCGCCGCAAAGACCTTCATAGGAGGAGCATGGCTTGAAGATGAAGTTTTCTGGAATGTTGGCGAAGGCTGGGATGAGGATTCTGAGTGACATGAAAAGTCCAGCAGCGAAACCGAACTTCAAAACGAACTGCCATAAGATCTCACGCTCCTTGTTGAAGTTGTTGACATCGAGAGCAGAGAGAGCAAGGTTAGAAAAGATTGGTTGCCAGCAAATGTGGATGTAACCAAGAGCTGTTAAGACAATATTGACCATAGAGTCACAGTCATTGATAACAAGATACTGGAAGAATTGGAGTATCTCCATAGCTGCAAAGAAAAGGAAGCAAGCTGTGATTCTACAACGTTGCCACATTGCAAGGGATTTCCAGATACCCTTACCTGTCATAACCCAAGCTCCCAAACCACAGCTTGTGAGCGTGAAGGCTAAGGACCACTCCTTATTAAAGCACATGCGAAATGTACAAGTGAAGTTAGGTTTCTGAAAATTCAAATTACTTTCAAACGATTTCTATTGAATCAGATTAAAGGTTGAATTTTATCAAATCGAACTATTATTATAGGATATAATAACTAATAACATAACTCGAAAAATTGCTGATTTATTAAGTATTGAATTTGAAATTGAGATTAACCGTTTTACAATCCATGTTATTTCGAAATGTCGATACTTTTATTTTATACACTACTCACTGCCATTTAAATGAAAATCATTTGAATGAATTCAATTTCTGGACCTATCAAATGTCATTACTGTTTTGATTTTCAAATATTTTAATTTTTTTATTTACATATTTTAAATCATGTCATATATCAAATTAATCCATTTCCGAAACAATTTTGACTTTCTGAGCAATTCAAAAAGACAATGATGGATGATTCGTTAAATCTTATTAACTACCAAATGCTAGTTAAAATACCAAATTTTAGTAAACGGTATAAAAAATTAACCATAAAAGTTAAATATATACAATCCTATATTATAAAGAATTTCATTCCTTTTCAACATTAACTCTTGAATTTTTTTTGACAGCATCATCAAATCAATTTTTTTATTCCAATCAACAGTCATCACCTAATTAAATAAAAATATATATGATTTTCGATATTTTCATAAATTGACGATCTTTTTGAATTTTTTTGCAATCCAAAATCATCATAGTTCTTCCTAATTCTAACGTAGTCAATCCTTAAAATCATTGAATTTGTATCTACTTTTCAAAAAGCCTATAAGTGCCAAAAATCACCAACGTTACGAGTAAATTTCGAGGCTGGTTTGTTTCGACGTGATTCTGCTTCACATATATATACGACAACAAATCCTCCTACACCGATATCAGTTACACTTATTTCATTATGAAATCAATTTAATCTAACTAGTTTTAGCTCTATTACCACTAGATTTGTAACTTTTTAGTAATTTAAGAACATATCATGATGATTTTATACGGATCTTGTTAATATTTCTTTTAATTTTTTTAAATATCATACATTTAGGTTCATATCTTAGGGGTGGATTTAATCCATTATATCAGAGTAATCATTATACATAGTCAAAAATGCTCAATAGCATTTTTACATTTTTATCAACCCACAAAAATTTTCGTTTCAAAATGACCTTTGGAGATGTTAAATTCGAAATTTCTCAGGAATTTCGAATTAACATGAACAATAAGAACATTGGAACGATCATTCCGATCAATGAGTACGAGTATTTTGCAACTACAACTGATGAATTAGTCAGATTTGATCAAAACGGAATTATCACTTCATATGACTACCAGTTTATCACAGTTGTTTATGTCAAAAAGCTCGAGATGATCATAGGAGTAACATACATTGGCTCTGAATTGGTTTTAATTGATTATAATAATCCAGGAAGGCCTTTGTTGTCAGGAATTAAGCTGAATTTGGTTAGTATATTCCATATGATATTCTCAGACGCATCAAATTCCGTTATAATCTTTGGCAGAGGAATTAAAGTTTTCACATTGAACGTTTTGAATCCACATTACAGGATTTTGAAGAAACCAGAAGATTTTTCATTTACTTTAAGAACTTCGTTCGCAAATTGGTACGATACTTCCATATTAAATACTCCTGTTTTTGATAATGACAGGGAACTTATCTTTCTACCAACAAATAACGGTCTTACAGGCTATAATCTTGATGGAAAACAATCTACAGTTGTTACAAAGTTACCAATGCTCAAAAATTCATTATTTGCGTATTATCCTGATTCAAGAAAGGTTTTTACTTTTGATTCATCATCAGGAAGTATTCTATGGGACAAATACTTTAATGTTGTCTCAAGATACAACATAAGTAACGTTATTTCCAGCCTTCATTTTGTAAATAACGAAAATGTCTTTTATTTGACGCCAAGAGGATACATGAATATCCTTAACCTAAAGACACAGAAGTCATTCGTCCTAAATACAATTGATTACAGCCCAACGAGAATCTTTATGTTTAATAAATTTCGAATTCCAACATTAATTATATGTAATAACTCTTCAGTAGAGTTCTTTACGATAAAGATACCATGGAAAGTATGGGCTCGTCACGTTCTACACACAACTTCCATTGAAAGAGTTCCATCTTTTAATTCAGCGGCAAGAATCATTGTTTTTACAGAGAATTCCTTTGCAAAAATCTATTCTCCGAAGACTGCTCACATGCTAACCTCTGCAACTCCTTACCAATCAAGCCAAATCAAAATGGGATTTTATGATCGAGGTTTGATCGTTTATTATTCCGAAAACCAAAGAATTATCGAACAATTGTTAGATAACGATAAACGCGATCAAATATTTATGCTTCTAAAGAACGGAATTTTGACATCTTTCTCTACCGGGTCAAGTCCATGCGACCAGATCATGTCCAACAAGATGAAATTCGACTTCATCATCAGGGCGAAGTATAAAGGTAATTGGTGCTACTATTTCGCTACGAAAGACTGCGATTTGAACATTGCCGATTACAAAACGATCAGATTGATAAGAAGATACATTTACGGGTCAAGTAGGACATTAATTGATATTAAATATCTACCTTCCGTTGATCAGATCCTTATGATTTGCAAAGATTCTTTGGTATTAATTGAAACTAACGATTGCAAGATCATTTCGGAACTAGCGATGAATCAACCAACATTAGTAGCCATTAATAGGGATATCGCGTACCTCGGTTATCAAACAGGAGCTATTTTCTGTGTCACTTTTCGAGAAAACAAATTAGACTTATTGAATTCAGACGTTGGCAAGAAATATCATGATGATGCAGTCACAGGATTCTCTTTCTCTGAGACTTTCTGGGTTACAAGCTCTTTAGACCAAAAAGTCAAAATATGGAATTACGATTTCATGAATATCGCCACAGTTCATCTTCCTTTACCCATTCTGAACTGTTGCGTATTGAATGGACGTAGAGATATCATCGTAGCTACTTATACAGAGATAATGATCTTAAAAGGAAATTTATTCTTCAGGGAAGTTGATGAAGAAGTCCCAGAAATCGACAATTTCGATAAACTTGAAGACAATCTCGCCGAATACTGTCTTATTCCTGGCAATTTCGATGATGATGAAAAGAATAATAACACAACTTCACTTTTGGAGTCAGTTAGAAGCCAAAAGAACTCACCAACACTCAATACAAGACAGAATGCCCCTAATAACTACAATTGGGATAACTTCGACATGTCTTTACTCGAAGAAAAATCTCCAACTGTAAAAGTAAAAGAAAACGACGACCAAAAGGCAGAAGAAAATAATCAGGAACAACAGCAAAGTAGTTCTAAGAAGTCAAAAAAGAAAAAATACCAAACTTTGTCAACAATGAGTTCAAATCTTCCGAAAACTGAAGAAAATGATGACAAAAAGAGTAATTTGAGTGATAATGAGAGATCAGCAATACTCGCTGAAATGAGTTCTATTGAAGATACTACTTCAAAACAACAAAACATAAATAAAAAAGAAGAAAATTTACAAAACCAAAAAAGTGACAAAGAATATTCGGAAACTTATGAATATTCTGAAGAAGAAAACCAACCTAAAAAGCCTCCACCAAAAGCCAAACCGAAAAAGAAGCAAAATTCCGAAAATTTACAAAATTCACAAAATTTTGATGTAAAAGAACCCGAAATTTCAGATGATAAGATTGATTTTGATGATGACGAAGACAATGAACTGAATAACATCCCCAAAGTGAAGAGAGCACCAAGAAAAGGCCCACAAGCTCCAAGTTCTAGACCAAAAATGAAAACAGATGAATCAAAAACTCCAAGAAGAACTAAAAAACATAAAAACAATGATCAAATACCTCAGCAACAAAATAAAGATCAAAACAATCAAACTGAAACAGATTTGACATTAGATCTTTCCGATGAATCTGAAAATTCCTCAGATTTTGACGATAAAAATTCAAAAATTCAATCAAAAAACAAAAGTGAAAAATCTAATAAAAATGACAACAAATCCAAAAGTGACAAGACTCGTAAAAGTGACAATCTTGACAAAAGTGACAAAAATTCTGAGAAAACAAAAAGTCCAAAAAATTCAAAGAAAAACAAGTCAAAGAAGAAGAAAACAAAGGCACAAGTGAATGATAGACTACTAGAACCCAAGCAAATACCAGAAGAACCTTCTTTTGAGACAAAAACCATCAAATATCACAAATCTGTTTCATCTTTGGAGTTATTCAAAGAACCAGAGATCCCTGTTAAAGATGTTAACCCACATAGGGCACAAACACCACCTTTGGTTATAAAATTACATCCAAATGAGAAAAATTTGAGTTCAAGTGTTGTTTTGGACAGAACTAATGTGATTGAGAAGTTTGTTTCAGGTAACACAGAGATGATTGACCTCCTTGAAGACGCAACAAGGTCTTTTATTCCAAAAGACGAAAATGAAAGGAAAATTTACCAAGAAAACGTCAAAAAACTTCACGAAGTCATCAAACAAAACGAAGACTTCTTCGAAATGACAAAACAACAGAAATCTTTCAAGAAAAATAAAAAAGAAAAAATTTTCTCCAAAAAAGTGACACCTCTAAAATCACCCAAATCCGAAACATCTCCAAAACATCAAACCAGAGCCAAAGAGAATGTTTCTAATACTAAAAACCCCAAAATTCTTCAAGTTCCGAAAAATGAAAAAATAATCTCGGAAAAAGGCATCAAAAGAAGCAAATCAGTTGATATAGCGACAGTTGCCAAGAAGAAATCACCGGTTATGAAGCCAAACCCCGTAATAAATCATTCAAAATCGGTTACATCTATACCAAAACTTCGAAATCCGAGGGTTAGGTATGTAAAAACCACCCAAAGGATGAGGATTGAAACACGCTATCAAAGAAAGAACGATCCCTTATCATTAGTAACTGTTTTGAGGACTCCATCAGATAAAAAAGAGAGAAAAGTCGAATACGACACTTCTCTCATCGAAGAAAGAAGGAACCAGATCTCTAGAGAAGCCAGCCAAGCAGCAGCAAGCATTATAAAGAATATGGTCGCTATGACAAATAAAATGGAAATATCTGCAAGAGTTGTTGTACACAGACCTACCAATTTATCTGTATTTCCATTAAATGACGGTGTAGACCTCTTAGAACTCGCAGTTTGCGAACATTTACCTGATGCGTCGCCAAAACCAGTAAATTCCATTTACACGCTTTCTCCGAGGAATAAAAAAAAGCATGTGCCAATCTACATGCATCACAGAAGTAAAAGTCCAGTTTTGGCTGAGTTGGAACAAGATCAAAAAATTAATTCTTCAATTGAAGCAAATAAATACGAAGTTGTACAGAAGATTATCAAGAAACCATTATTACCAAGAATAACAGTACCTGTTGTCAATCAATCACCATTTGACCATGGAAAATAATTATTTTTTATTATATTTTATTGTTTGTTTGTAAATACATGTATTATATGAATCATTTCTCTATTTTATACTAGTTATTATGAATCTGAATTCCATAATTGTATTTTGCTCCAAATAATTTTTTTGATTTTGATCATAAACATCAAATATCAGAATTTTCAATTTAAAAAAGTATTTCTTTCCTTATGTTTATCAATTTAAATTAGTTTATAAGAATAAAATTCAGAATTATTAAACGGATATATTTGATTTCTCTTTGAAAATCAATAAAAGATTATCAACGTTGCGGGTATTCAATCAGACTCATGATGTTGTTTTTTTCATCTTCCAAAAATAGCTGCTAAAATGAAATCTTAAATTTTTACTAAAAATAAGTATAATCCGCATAAATTGATTTAACAAACTCTGCAACACGCCTCAACTATCTCGTCTTTGGCTCTTACAAATGCATTTCCAAGTGCATCTCCCACTTCGTCTTTAACAACGTCAACAACTTCGTTAACTTCGCTTGGAACATCAGAGCTGTCGTACAGTTTATCGAACGCATTGTCAACTATTGCTTCAGCACCACCTTCCAATATATTGTCTGCCATATCATTCATGCTCTTTCCTACGTCCAATTCACCGTTAATTGCATCTTCAGCCATATCATTTAATCCATCTTTGATTTCATCTTCAGCAGCATCCATTACATCACTAGCAATATCAGACATGACATCACTCATCTTGATGATGAAAAATGAAAAATGATTGATCTTGGCAAATTTATTTTTTTAGAACGTTTCATCCTCACAAAAAATTGAAATACTTTAGAATTTTTATATGGAAAAGATCCATATAAATAATGCTCAAGAATAGATTCCAATGCAGATATTCGTTATCCGATGAGGTGTATTTCATTTTGTTAATTATTGTATACTATCTTGGTAACCATGTTACTATCATTTTAATGGAATATTGGGTCTGGAATTCAAATTTTTCAAAGAAGTGATAGTTCATTTTTTTCAGAGGTGTAAAATCTAAAAAATGACATTCAACGATAAGTATATCGCCCACAAACAGATAAACAAAAATATCGAATTTCAAATCATATAGATGATAGTTTATCTCCTCAGAAAATTCAAACCTTATTCAATTTTTTTGAATAATTCTTTATCATTTTAAAATTTCAAATAAAATTCAAGGTTTTTCGATTATTTCATCCTAGTAATAGATAATATACCATCTTCTCGGTAAGATATATTTCATTTCAAAACAATCTTCCGAGCCGAGAATATGCATGATTATTATAGTACATTAAAATATCAATGAAATATAAGTTGAAAAAATGTAAAATCCTCAAATATTTTTGAAGAAACGTTTGGAATCTTCCTTTTTCCAAAAAATGGATAGTGTATAAATACATATGATGTAGTATAAAATAACATTTATAGTAACAAATAAATTAAAGTTGAGATTTCAGTTCATTCAGTTCTTGCTTCAATAAATCAAGTCTTCTATTATTCTCTACAGAATTATTTTGTTTCTCAATCAGTTCTTGATTTGATGCACTGAATTTTTCAATTTTTTCAGAAAATTGATTAATTTCATCAAGTTCTTTCTGAAGAGATTCAGCGTAACTCTTTTCAGCTTTAATAGATTCATCTATGAAACTCCAATCGTAGCCCTTGAGCTCGTTAATTTCAAGGAAAAGAGCTTTTTTAATATCTGAATCACTTAAATTATCCTTCTTCAAGATCGGGGACTTAAGTTGAACATTCTTACGCGAATGTACATTAGTGTGCCTTGATAACTCGACAAGTTTCTCCTTGGCTAATTTGATTTTATTGACTAATGAAATTCTTTCGTTCATCCAACTGGAAGATGACTGCTCTTTCAACGACGATATTCTCTTTTTCTCATTAAGGAATGAAGATCTGTTATCGCCTTTTTCTACTTCTTTGATCTGATCTAATTGTTGTTTACATTCAGCAATTGTAGTAATAAGGAGCTGTCTTTGGGTGAATATATCTTCGGCAGCTGCTTTAGCAGCAGCTTTAAGGTCCTCAGCCTTCTTTCTTGTGTCTTCTTTTATCTGAATGCAATCTAATTTCAGCTGCTCTTCTTCTGTTGTAACTTTGACGTAATTCTCTTCGATTTGCCTTATATCAACCTTTCTTTTTTCAAGTAATTCTTTGAGGTTTGCAACTTTTTCTTCTAAATCTGTATTTTGTTTTCGGAGAATTTTCGTTTTGTTTACGTTTGATTGAACTTCCGCTTGTAAATCAACATTACCAGCTTTAATTCCTGCTAACTTTGCACTGATTATTTCACCTTGGCCTTCAAGAATACGCAATTGCTCAAAGAAATCACCAGTAAGAGTAAAGTTTTGAGTATCAGGATCGATAGTATTTGCCTCAAATTCAGAATTTTCTTCTTCTATGGCATCTAATTCGTTTTGAAGCTCTTCTAATTTAGATTCCAATTGAGTTTTCAATGCAAGGTTTTTTCTAAGGAACAATTTCTCGTGATTTATTTTTTTGTCGTAAAATACTCCCATTTGAATTAATTCATCTTCTTCATCTTGATTTAGAATGACTTCTTCTGTCGAATTTTCACTCATCTATTTTTATGTACGTTTAAAAAAATTTTTCATATGCCCGTTGATATTATACTCTTTTTTATTGATCAAATATCTATTTATTCCTTATATATTATATATTCAAAATGTCCAAGCAATGTCTTTTATGGACATAAAAGATCTCGCATCAAAAGAAGTAATCTTAAACATTTTCATATAGTTAAAATTAAGATCGACTTCATATTCTTATAATAGCAGAACAGATCAAATTAGGAACTTTAGTAAACAAAATGACATATGCGCAGGTTATATAATATTGATAATATCAAAATCCCATATGTTCATTACATTTTAAATAGTCTCAGAGCATTTAGTTTTAGATTTAAGTTTAAGTTTGTCTCTAAGTTTGGATTCTAGATGTGATTTATAGTTGTTGATTTTGCTGTTTAAATTGATCATAGTTTTTGGAGATTTAGAATTTATTATGTTCTTTGGACTAGTTAGAACATGAAACAATGGGAAAATATTAAATTTTGAATTCATTCTTGGACATGACATATTAAATTCTAATTTATCTTCTTCTAAATATTTATTTTCTGCTTCACAAAATACTGTTGACAAATACTTGTTTTCTAATTTACTCAATATCTGTGGAGATTCAATTTTAATCATATCAGGATTATTACATGTATTATCTATTGAATTATCTTCATCATAATGCGAATGATTAATAACAATTTCGGCAGTATTTTCAATCCTAATAAACAATGGAGATGTATTTTCTTTAATAAAACATTGACTCAAAGAAAGATATGAATTCTGAATACAATAAATTATTGCATTATTTGGATCATAGCATTTAATGATATTACAATGCGAAATGAAATGTTTTATATTACCAACTCCAAAGATAGACACTTCTGAAGTTATATTATAAAAATTACTAGTATTACCAAATGAATTTTCTAAAGAATCTGCGATAGCATATCCTGCATAATACTTCATAGAAGAAAAAGAAATATTAATATTTTCTATTTTACCATTTTGACTTGCTAATACTGCACCATTTCCTCTACAATTATTAAACGAAGATTCTATGATATAGTTTTTATTTTCAGCAGACTCAGAAACTCCTATCGCAGAGTGTGATCCGAGGTAAATATTAAATTCATCTTTCGTTCGGACAACAAACGATTCGTGACTGCAAATACGATATTGGATACAGGATCCTTTATTTTCCATGAAAATACACCCTCCATTTTCGTTTTCTTTACCACATCTTCCGAAACTACAAAATGAAACAAGAAGTTTGGTATTATCGGTACCAGAGATATTAATGACACCATTTGGATGAATGTCTTCAAAAATAACTTCATCAACAAAAACTTTGGAGTTCTCATTAACAAATTTGCTTTCATTAATATGAAAATCATATAACTCACATCCATAAAAGTATTCCCATATATTATCATTTGGACTATTTTGCTTAGGCTTTACGAAAAAATGATTATTATTTTTTCTATAAAAATTTATAAACAAACACACCCTCTCAATTCAAATAAATAAATGTAATCGTTACAACACACCAATTATACAATATGGTTTAATATTTGAAGATTTTTTAGCATACCATATTTTCATACCTTGGACAGTAACTTGATTCACTTTCTAATCAACATAAAAAAACATTTTAAGAAACATACTAATGATCGACGAATGTGAAGACATAGTCGAAAAGACTGTTCATGATGTCTGCGGACTCGATACAGTACAAAACGTTAAGTGCGGACCATCGTGCATCTTCAACTTCTGTAGGAAGTGTTGTGTAGCGCATAATTGTCTTGACAATGTCTGGACATCGGAATTTGTCAATCAAAACTGGTGATGTACTTGAAAACTCAATTAGTTTGAACATGTTTCTTAGTTTCTGGAGAGGAATGTCATCATAGATGTCTTTCTTAATGTCGATTTCGATAGTGTTCAGTTCGTTGATGATCAGTTCTGCAAATCCAAGTGAAGAAAGCCATTCTTGGATTGGTAAGTAAGAAATGTCTTCCATTATTATCTCCTGGAAGAAATCGATTATTGGATCATTTTCTATGTACTTGTAAAACTCCTGTACATAATAACAAATCGCAGGAAATTCTCCTGGACATATTGTTAAAATTTGTTAATAATATCTTTGATTCTTGTCTTCATGAATGCCTATACAAATTTCGTATAGAGACATAAATTTTCTTGAATAGACACTAACAAGTTCATATATCATGAACATTTAGTTCGAGATTTAAGATTAATCTATTATGATTTTATAATCTAGTTTTGATTTATAGTTTAAGTTTATCATATTTTTTTGAGATTTATAATTTGTTCTGTTTTTTGTGCTAGTGAGAAGATTATACAATTGGAAAATATTCTTCTTGAACTTTCAAGGGACAAGTGGTGGTTCGGAACTACTGACCATAACACAGTCATTCGCCACTTCCAACTCCAATTTATAGTCGGAGAAACTAATACTGAAAGTTATATTTTTTAGACAGTGTTTCCCCTACTTGGAGTGAGAATAAAATGTTTTTGGGTACATTTCATCTTTCATTCCCATTAGAAAATGTCCAAACTATGGATTGATCTTGTGAATTTAACCCAGTATTGAATACATTCTAAGTGACATTGGGTGTTACAAAGTACTGATACAATGTCAGTGCTTTGCAGCTAACAGTTCTTAAATTTGCCAGCATTGCCATCAAAATACATTTTGACATGAAATTACAAAGATATATTTTCATAAAATATATAACAGCGAGATTATTTTTAGTATAAATTTCGATTTTATTTTATTTTTTTCAGATGATTTGTAAATTTTACGACATTTCAAAAAGCGAATTAGGTTATGAATCTGAATTTGGAGTATATTGCTGCTCATATCAGCGATTATATTCAAAACGAAAACTTTTTTGATATATTCGATATCAGAGACATCAAAACTATCATGAAATTTTCACGTTTGACAGTTGATGAGTACGTAACTCTTCTGAAGCAGTCTTCATCAACTCTAAATGCCAAAGAATTATATATCAGTACACGAAAAGCAAATATTACTATCCAAAATTTCGAAGAAGTCGTTTCAATTCTTACATTCGTCAAAAAGTACATGAAATTCAATATATTTGATGGAATGATTGATTTTATCAAAGAAAACGACAAACATATGCTTGATTCTACAGAAGAAATCAAAAAACCTCAAACAGAAATAAAAACTTTACAAAATCAATTACAAAATGCGGCCAAAGAAACTACAGTCACACTAACTAATGAATCTCACGACTGTTCTAGAGAATATTTAACCAAAATATCATCACTTAAGGAAACAAAGGATTTTGATAAAGTTTACAAATTCTTTGAAGAACTTTCTTCTAAGGGCAATCAAGAGATGATTTCAAAGGCTTGTGAAGAAAGACTTTGGAAGAAGACAGAAGAGCTTGAAAAGAATGTACTTCATGCTGCAAGTGAAAAAGGAAATCTTAATCTTGTCAAATCACTTATTGAAAGTGGCTGCGATAAGGAAACAAAGGATAATAAAGGATATCTCCACTCATTTATGCATCAAGATATGGCCATCTTGAAGTTGTTAAATATCTTATCTCAGTTGGAGCTGATAAAGAAACAAAGGATAAAGATGGATATACTCCACTCATTGAAGCATCATTAAAAGGTCGTCTCGAAGTTGTTAAATATCTTATCTCAGTTGGAGCTAATAAAGAAGCAAAAGGTAATTATGTAAATACTCCACTCATTGAAGCATCATCAGAAGGTCGTCTTGAAGTTGTAAAAAGTCTTATCTTAGTAGGAGCTGATACAGAAGCAAAGAATAGTAATGGATGGACTCCACTTATTTTTGCATCAAGATATGGTCATCTTGAAATAGTTAAATATCTTATCTCAGTAGGAGCTGATACAGAAGCAAAGGATAATGATGGACATACCCCATTAATTCAAGCATCATGTTATAATTATCTTGAAGTTGTTAAATATCTTATCTCAGTTGGAGCTGATACAGAGGCAAAGGATAGTAATGGATGGACTCCACTTATTTTTGCATCAAGATGTGGTCATCTTGAAATAGTTAAATATCTTATCTCAGTAGGAGCTGATACAGAAGCAAAGAATAATTATGGAAAAACTGCATTTGCACTTGCAAAATATAATGTAAGAAATTATCTAAAATCTATTGGAGCCAAGTAATCTAATCTAATCGGATAATTATATTAAATTAACAATATTCTTATTTACAATCTATTCTTCATATGAATATTGTTTATTTTTCATTTAATTAGTTAAAATAAACATATTATTCATATTAACCAATATCGATAACTATTCGTTGTCCTCTTTTTATTGAAAACAAAACTATTGATTATCTAAAAATGATTATTAATTCATGTCGGATTGTTCATGGAACAAACAAAATTCAAGTTATGAAACGAATATATAATAAGACACAAGGGATTTTCTGGAAATATCTTTCGAAATAAAGAAATGTCTTCCATTGTTATATCCTGGAAGAAATCGATTATTGGATCATTTTCTATGTACTTATAAAACTTCTTTACATAATCACAAATTGGAGGAAATTCACATGGACACATTGCCAAAATGAGTGAATATTATTTTGATGCTCATCATCATGAATGTCAAATTCATATTAATATTAATATTCTACATTTCCTCAAATATAAAATTTCGGATAAAATTTCTAGAATAGACAAATAGAAGTTATACATCATGAATATTTAGTTTTAGATTTAAATTTAAGTTTGTCTTTCAGTTTGGATTCTAATTTTGATTTATAGCTGTTGATTTTACTGTTCAAATAAATCATAGTTTTTGGAGATTTACAATTTGTTTTGTTCTTTGTACTAGTGAGAACATGAAACAAAGGAAAATATTAAATTTTGAATTCATTTTTGGACATGATAAATTAAATTCCAATTTATCTTCTTCTGAATATTTATTTTCTGCTTCACAAAATACTGTTGACAAATACTTGTTTTCAAATTTACTCAATACTTGCGGAGAATCAATTTTAATCATATCAGGATTATTACATGTATTATCTATTGAATTATCTTCATCAAAATAAGAATGATTAATAACTATTTCGGCAGTATTATAAATCTCAATAAACAACGGAGATGTATTTTCTTTTATAAAACATTGACTCAAAGAAAGATATGTACTCTCATCACAATGAATTATTGCTCTATTGGGCTCATAACATTTAATGAAATTGCAATGTGAAATGAAATGCTTTATACCGACAAAGCCAAAAATAGACAGTTCTGAAGTTAAATTATAAAAATTACTATTATTATCAAAAGAATTTTTTAAAGAATTCACGAATATATATCCTGCAAAATACTTCATAGAAGAAAAAGAAATATTAATTTGCGAATTTGAAACTTTACCATATTGACTTGCTAATACTGCACCATCTCCTCTACAATTATTAAACGAAGATTCTATGACATAGCTTTTGTTTTCACCAGAATCAGAAACAATAATAGCAGAATGAGATCCTCCGTTATTAATATTTTCATATATTGTTTGGAAAACAAATGATTCATGACTGCAAATACGATATTGGATACAGGATCCTTTACTTTCAAGTGATATACATCCCCCATCTCCGTTTTCTTTCCCACATCTTCCAAAACTACAAAATGAAACAAGAAGTTTGGTATTTTCAGTACTATTAATGTTAATGACACCATTAGGATGAATGTCTTCAAAAATAACTTCATCAACAAAAACTTTGGAGTTCTCATTAACAAATTTGCTTTCATTAATATGAAAATCATATAACTCACATCCATAAAAATAGTTCCATACATCATCATTTGCACTATTTGTATTATGTTTTACAAAAAATAGATTTTGAATTTTTTCATATAAAAATAAAGCTAAACACACTCTCTCAATTTAATAAATTCAATTATTAAGGCTCCGGTCTTGCATACAGTTAGGACGAGTATCTAATAAGGAGTAAAACTTTTACAAATCAAAAATCTTTAGATTCTGCCAAAAAGTTTACATATTTTAATGGAGGCGTCGGAGCCTTCCTATGCACTTTTTCACACAATCCCCCCTCACTAATGTCCGCCCTAATCAGCAGATAAATGCTGAAATTTGAAATTGCGATCCCGCATATTGAGATTGAAAATGCCGACAATTGCAGAATATGGCATTGTAAAAGAACCCTTATCAGATATATCTTATTTATTTGTTAATTTAGGAATAAAGGTTAAATTTGAATGTCTCAAAAAGCTGCAGGTCAGATTTTGACACCTATTCGAGAGAAACTCATAGAATTAATTATATGAGTTGACTCAAAAATATGATCGGACCTGCGCTTTTTGACGAGCAGTTTATTTTTTTCAAAAAAAAAAACAAACAACTCATCTAGAAGAGATTGAAAATCAAGTTTACTAATAATAATATAATGTATCACTGATATGCTATAAAATTTCGTGGGCTTTTTGGATTATAAATACTTTTACCGGTCAATTTGTTGAAATTTGTCAAAATACCGAATTCTCATATAAGATGAACTATAATAGTAATACTCATTTTGAATATACCAAATTATAGTGTATTACATAATGATATTATATACTAAAATAAAAGTATCAATAACTCATATTGGCGGAAATATTAAAACTTTCAAAATTGAGAGGGTGGGACCGGAGACATAAAACACATCAATTGTCAATTTGTTTCAGAACTTGAACCATATCTCCATGAACTCTACAGTTTCTTATATCATTTTAATCAATTACAAAAACTCATCGAGGAAAATATCTGAAATACATTCTTAAGAATATTTCAATACAATTTTTGATACATAAACTAACGGAAAATGCCGATGATCATATATGATTGCACACGTTTTAAATTCACTTAATGAATATTTGTCGAATCGTCCTCAAGTAAAAGTCATCGTCTTAATGTGTCAAAAAGTTCACAAGAAGGTTTCTTGATTCAAGTTTCAAAGATTCTAATGCAACACACAATGCATATATGTGATATAATATATGTTTATATAGTATTGATATCAATACTCTATTATTCATGTACTGATTCTGAAAAAAAGTGAACAAAAGTCAGTTTTTCTCTAACATTAGAAGTGCTTTAGATCAAGCGCAGCATACTACATTTAAGTAATAGTAGTATTGATTTCATATGTACCATAAGCGACGTCGAAATCCGAGATTTTTTCAGACCTCAAGATTTCGAAATCTTAAAGAAAAACTTAATATGTCATAGATTTTGCTATGTATTCACATTGTACACATATTTCTCTGTATATTATGTCGCATAAGTAGCTATTTATTTCATACAGATATCGTAGAAAATCGAAAAAAAGATACCAAGGAAAGAAAAATTTTAGTGTCAGATTTTCCTCCGATTTTACGTTTCCACTGGAAACGACGCAACTATATCTTCGTTTTCATTTCAGATATTTTCAAAACACATGAACTACAATTCGTAGAAACTTGATAATACAACAAATGTGAAAATAACAAAAGAATAGTTTTATATTAACTATACATATACTATAATAAACAAGAGAAATAATAAAAATAATAATCATAATCATAAAAATTATAACATACAAATAATGATAAAGATAAATCGAATATTATGCCCAAACAACTGGAAGTTTGCCGCCATAGCCGTCTTTCATAAGTTGACGACGTTGTTTAAGTTCGTTGACAAGGAATGAATCAAATTCTTCGATCTTGAGAAGTGACATCTTGAACTCTCTGTCACGTGATGCGAATGACAGAGCGTTCTCGATAACACGGAATGAGAAAGCGTTAAGAGATATGTTCTCGCGTTTGGTGCCTTCGAACATAAGAGGAGGGATGACTGCCTGTGCGTACATAGAGTTAAGTTGTTTGTTCTGGAAGACTGCACATAGAAATTCTTCGACTGCGAGGAGTGCGAATGAGTTCTCTCTGAACTGGAGAATTGTTCGAAGAAGGATCTGGTATATCTGTGGCTTCTTGAATCGTGGAATAAGAGTTTTGTCGTATTGAAGCATCTTCTTCAAAATAAGAAGTGCAGAAACACGATAGCTGTGAAGTTGTCTGTATGGTTCTGCAATGCATGTGAAAACATAGTCGAAAAGACTGTTCATGATGTCTGCGGACTCAATACAGTACAAAACGTTAAGTGCGGACCATCGCGCATCTTCAACTTCTCTAGGAAGTGATGTGTATCGCATAATTGTCTTGACAATGTCTGGACATCGGAATTTGTCAATCAAAACTGGTGCTGTACTGGAAAACTCAATCAGTTTGAACATGTTTCTTAGTTTCTGGAGAGGGATGTCATCATAGATGTCTTTCTTAATGTCGATTTCGATAGTGTTCAGTTCGTTGATGATCAGTTCTGCAAATCCAAGTGAAGAAAGCCATTCTTGGATTGGTAAGTAAGAAATGTCTTCCATTGTTATCTCCTGGAAGAAATCGATTATTGGATCATTTTCTATGTACTTGTAAAACTCCTGTACGTAATCACAAATCGGAGGGAATTCTCCTGGACACATTGTCAAAATAAGTGCTGTAAGACGACAAGAATATGATAATATACGCGATGACGATGATTTGTTGTGTACAGCGTCAAGAATTTGGGCATGAAGATTTGAATTTTGTAAAATTGATGTTAATAAATCATTTTGTAGGTGCTCTAAAACGTTATATGCGTGGACAGCTAATCTTTCATGATTAGACAAAATAATTGAGATCAATTCGTTGACATTATTTGCGATATATTCTACGATTTGAGGATGGCGCGATGAAATTAATTTGACTGTAATTGTATGCTTAAGAAGACGTTTTACACTCATTTTTGGTTGACTTAAGAAGTTCGAAATGTCTGGAAATTGTTGATCTTGAGAATTAGGGTCATTATTCGTAGATATTCCAGGAATTGATACCCCAGTGGGTGATGGAGGAGATTCAGCCCTATCATTTTCTAGCTGATTATGATTAAGTTCCATAAAATTCCGCTAAAAATATTGAATAGTTTACAAAACTATAAATCAATGATAAAACATTTCTATTTGAAAATTTATCTATAACTTATAAGAGTACTTAGTGATTTTCTGGAAATTTTTAAATTTTCCAAACTTGAGAAATTGCTTGTTGGAATTTATTCGATCAGGCTGCCAAAGTTAGAGCATTTACTTGTGCAATCGCTAATTTTATACATGAACTATTCCCTATTTAAAGATCCAATGATTTCAATTCCCGTTTCAATTTCTTGATTAAATTTTAGGCTATATACAAAATAAACAATTATATTTCATATTTTTATTCAGTTTCATGTCACTAAATTTTGAAATTAAAGCAAATTATTATTATAAAAAAAAATTCCTTTATTGGATTGAAGCTATTCATAGTACAGTCATAATAAATTATGAAACGTATAAGTGCATGATATGATTAAATAATATATAAATAGTTTTTGAAATAAATTCACTATTTTACAAATAACAAAACAAGTTCATACATTTCTCTATTATTTAAAGATTGAGCGATTTGCAACTCTTGAGATAAATCGTCGAATTTACCATTCAAGAGCAGATACAAAGCAACATTGATATTCTGCATTTTAATGGCACTTCTTAATGCATTTTTTTCATCAACTCCATTATTTAGGATGAATTTTTCAACAATATCTTCTCTTTCTTTATGTGCTTTATAAAGAGCAGGAGCAACATTCTCTGCTAAATTAATGAATAAATCTAAAACCCTCATGTTTTTCGCATCAAACAATGTCAAAAGAGGTTTAGTTGATTTCAATTTTCCTCCTCTTAAGATCAAATGTTTTGCATTATCTACAGAGATGAAAGGATCAATCATTTCTATTACATTCTCTTTTGATTCATTCTTTAATTCCTGATTGGGTAATACATCCGAATCTGGCAATTTTTCACCATTTCTCTTCAAAACTTCATTGATGATTTCTTGATCTCCAAAAGAAACTGCAATTTGCAAACATTTTTTACCACAGTTTCTCGATAATTTTATTGCTTCAAGGATATGTTCCTTTTCTATATTTCTATGAAGAAGTGATTGGAAGACTGTTCCTTCTTCTAAATCAACACCTTTCTTTGAGAGATAAACTGCCATATCATTTCTATAATTTTGAACTGCCATATCAAACATTTTATCTTTATCTAAACCATTTTCTAGTAATAAATCAAGAATTTTCGGACTAAAATAGTTTATTGATCCTAAATATTCTTCATCATTAACATTAGCGCCATGTTTAATAGAAGACTTTGTGATTTCAACATTTTTAATTTTTGTTCCATTTTTTAATGAAATATTTGCTAAATTTCTTCTACCACGAGCCTTATCTAATAAATGATCAATTACTTTAGAAGCTCCTACTAAAGATGCTTCCATAACAACATTTTCTGTGCAGAAATCTACATCAAGAGTGTCTTCCATTTGAATCATAACTTCGTAGTTTAATCCTGCACTTGAATTCTGAAATGATTCTTCAACAGTGTTTATCAAGAAAGCTTTAAGTATATCTCTAAACAATATGTCTGTAGTTTGGTACAAGGAACTCAAGCTTGGATAGAAGAAAACAACATTCTTTTTCCTAAGAAAGAAAAAACTTTTCATAGTTGTATTTCCATAATGAATATAAAAGTGGCGAAAATTAATGTTGTATCTTTCAAGGATCCAATCAACGATATCATCTCTATAATACTCAGCTGCAACCATTAATAAGCTACTGAAATCTATACCTTTCTCATCGAAGTACCTAATAATTTCGTAGTTTCCGCCAAACAAAGCATATTTTGCTTCTAAAAAACTAATATTAACTTCATTGTTCAATAAGAATTTGAAACAGTTTACAGCTCCATATTTAACTGCTGTTTTAAACAATGGCTCTAAATTAGCATAGCTATCTGCTGCATACTCTATTAGTTCATTTAACATGTCTTGTTTTACATAGTTTTTGATCGATTTGTTCTCTTGAATTTCTTTTCCAACATTAAAAATTCTATCAGGAAAAGGAAGAGAAATTGAATAAACATTCGTTGTTGTTTTGATTAGATTAAAGAGAACTCCATAAACTGAACTCATTAATGGACGATTCATTGCTAATTTGAATATAAATCTTAAGATTGGATCGGTGTCACAAGGAAATGTTTTGTGGTGCTCGTTTACTTTTTTTACAATTTCTTCAATGGATGATTCCCTTGTCATTTTTATGATTTCATATTCAAGGTCTGCTCTGAACTTTGCCTTACCTCTTACAACAACATCAGAGATTAACTTTAATTTATCTTTAGAGTTGAAGAAGCGGTCCATTAAAATTTTTGTCACCTTTCTTTGATCGACCAATTGTCATTATGCTACATTTGTCAAAGTATATTAACATATGAAAGAAAATCAAGTGATTTCACAAGTAAAATCATTCCCAAAGCAAAAAACAAATAATTTTTATCTCTATTTCAAGATAAATCACAAGAAGATTGTTATGAAAAGAATTAATTAAAGGAATGTTGCAATAAATTATCATGTTATCCATCGTTTGAATGTTTTATGCATATTGATTCGCTGAAGTTGTCGTTTTTGATAACATTTAGATAATAAAACCCATTAAAAACACAATGTTTTGCTAATTTCAAGAAGTAATGCGTATTATCTCTATTATCTCAATATTTTTAAAATTATTTTACTAAAATCATTAAAGACTATCATAGAAAAATCTAATATTAGTGAAATTAAAATGAATGATTAATTAATAATACCGATTAGACGAATAAAATTTTATTATATCAAACAATATTACAATATATCAAATATTTAATGACCATTCCTGAGATTGTTGAGAATCTGCTCCAAGCTTGTCCTGTTTTCTATCTCCTGAATGATAACTTTCGTGTGAATTGTCTCAAATTCAATTGGAAACTCGAAAGAAGGAGGAGTGTAAGGAATGTCTTCGTAATTCTTTTCAGAATCTTCTTTTTGTGATTTCGAAGAAACTTTCTTTGATCTTGAATTTTTCTTCGACAATTTCATGTACAACTTGGTCGGTTGTGCATAAGAAGAACTAGAATCAGGTTGTGATCGACTCGATAATGATAAAATACTATTGGATTTCAAAGAATTTTGATTATCACCTAATTTAGATGATAAATTCGATTCGTCATCTGAATCGGAGTCAGAAGAAGATGAATCTTCATGTTTCTCTTCTTTTGGCTGATGTTTCAAGGAAGATTTTCTTATTATTGGTTGAGATTTTTCGTTTAAGGATTTTTGTGGCGAATTGATTGATTTTGGCTTTGGTTCTTCCTTGTTTTCTGGCTTTTCTTCATCAGAAGACGAAGATGAATTTAATAATTTTCTAATTTTTGAGTCTTCGTGAGATAATTCATCATCAAAGCTAAACTCAATAGGAATATTTTCATTTTTATCATCGATTGGCTCTTTCTTCTCTTCTGGAGAAATATTTTTATTATTTCTCTTCTTTTCTTGTTTCTTTGATTTAGATCTATTACTATTCATTGTAGAAACATCTGTTGCACTTCCATCATCACTTTTCTCAGAAGAATCAGATTTATTATTTAATAATGCGAATTCTTCATTGTTTTCTTGGACATTTTGTGTCAATGTGTCACTTCCATCATCAGATAGTGCTACAACGAAGTTCTTCTTTGAGTCTTCCTCATTAGATTTCAGAAATTCTCTTTCAATTTGGGAATTTGCTTTGGAAGCATCACTTTGGTTATGATTATTAGAATAGTCATCATTATCTGTTGATGACTTCTTGATTTCTCCAATAGATTTTGGAATTTTGAGATTAATTTCTTGATTTTCTTCATTTGAAGATGAAGAATCAGATTTAGAACTATTTAATCCATCAATTGATGACGAAGAAGAAGTTTTTGTATGTTTTATTTCTTCTTTTTCTTCATCAGAATCGATATTTAATGATTTTCTTTTTGGAGGAGGAAGAATTTCTTCTTTTTCTGATTCTGATTTGTTTTCATCAGAATTAAGAGAATTCAACAAATTTTTCGTGTTTTTAGGAACAATATTAATCAGTGCTTCATTTATTGAATCTTTCGATGCTTCATGTTCATTCTTATCTGAATTTTCTTCATCAGATTTGATTTCTTGTTTTTTATTTGATTTTTTATGTTTCTCTTGTTTTTTAGATGATTTCTGTGGTTTTTCAACAATTTCTTCATCAGATTTTTCTTCTTCTTCTTTCTTATTTGATTTTTCTTTCTTTTCAGAGATTTCTTTCTTTGATTTCTCTTTTTTATGTTTTTTATCTGATTTTTCTTCGGATTTTTCATCAACTTCAATAGACTTTTCTCCTTTTTCTTCTTGTTTATCTCTAATTTCTTCATTCGATTTCTCTTCTTCTTTAACTTCTTCATCTGATTTTTCTTCTTTTTCATGTAATTTTTGAGATTTTTCTTTAATTTTTTCTTCAACTTTTTCATCATTTTCAACAATTTCGGCTGATTTTTCATGTTTCTTAGGAGAATTTGCTTGTTTTTCTGGAGATTTTTCTTCTTTTTCATGTAATTTTTGAGATTTTTCTTTAGATTTCTCTTGCTTTTCTATAATCTTTTCATCATTTTCAACAATTTCATCTGATTTTTCTTGTTTTTCTGGAGATTTTTCATCAGATTTTTGAGATTTTTCATCTGAATCAGATGTGTTTAAGTCGCTTTCGTATTCTCCAGTTGATTCAGAGTAGTCAGAAGAGGAGTCTAGTAAAGGAGATTTTCTTGGCTGAGGAAGAGGTTCGTCAATGATGAAACTGACTCTTTTTGTTGAATTTGTTTTTGGTTTTATTTCTACTTCTTTGTCATCACTGTAATCAGAAGCAGAATCAGAACTAGAATCAGGAATTTCTTCTTTCATTGGAGGAGCAATTAAATCTTCAATGTTTATCTTTTTGTTCTTTGTTTCTAATTCATCAAATGACTCAGTAGATGAAGAAGAAACTAATGGATTCTTTCTTATGTATTTGTTTTCTGACTCAAACTCTTTCAAAGAATCAGATTCTCTCCGTTTTTTGTTTTCTTCACTTGAACTGTCAAAAATTTTAGATCTGTTTGTATTTGCTTCATCACTACTTGATGTCTCTATCTGTACTTTTCTGTGAATGCTGTGATTACTTGACTTTTCTTCAGCAACAACTTCTGTTTTGATTTTTTCTTTTTCTGATTCAAAATCAAGTAAACTTTCTGTTTTTTCTTGTTTGTTTTTAGGTTTTTCTTCTGAATATGAACTTGAATCAAACAAAACATGTTTCTTTTTCGGTTTTTCATCATCATTTTCATTTGTAATTTGTTTGTTTTCATTTGGTTTCTTTAATTTGATTTCTTTTTCTTCTGAATCAGAACTAGAATCAAGTAAAACTCTTTTCTTTTGATTTCTTTTTTCTTCATTTTGTGATATTTCAATTTTCTTTTCTTTAATTTCATAATTTTCATCAGAATCAGAATCATCATGTTTCTTAACTTTTTCATCTTTTTCTTCTGAATCTGAACTGGAACTATCAAAAATTTTCTTCTTTCCTTTGTTTTCTTTTTCTTTATTTTCTTCTTCTTCTGAACTTGAATCATCTAAAATCTTTTTCTTTTGATTTTCTTTAATTTCTTTATTTTCTTCATCAGAATCAGAACTAGAACTTTCTAAAATTCGTTTCTTTGCTTTATTAATAAGTTCTTTTTCTTTATCAGTTTCAGAACTATATTCATCAACTTTCTTAATTTTAATTTCTTTTTCTTCTTCAGAATTAGAACTATCTAAAATCTTTTTCTTCGCTTCATTTATTTGTTTCTTTTCATTATTTTCTTCTTCAGAATCAGAACTTGAATCAACCAATTTCTTTTTCTTTTGATTTCTTTTCTCTTCATCATTTTCATTTTCTGAACTAGAACTATCCAAAATCTTTTTCTTTCCTTTAATTTCTTCATCATTTTCAGATGAATCAAATACATTTTTCTTTTTGATTTCTTCTGATTCAGAACTAGAAGAATCCAAAATTCTTTTCTTCTTTTGATTTCTATCTTCTGAGTCGTAACTATCGAAAACATTTTTCTTTTTATGTTTTTCTTCATTATCAGAACTAGAATCATCAAAACTCAGTCTTTTCTTTTGTTTCTGGTTGTTTTTAATTTCTATTTCTGATTCAGAACTATTTTTAGTTTCAGAATCAGATGAAGAAAGTTTTCTTCTCTTGTTAGAAACAACTAAACGAGGAGGAGAATTAACTAAGTTATTTTTACTTTCTTCTTCATCTTCTTCATATGAATTTGATGCAGCAAGTAAATTGTTTAAGTTCTTAGGTGCAGGAATTGAATCATCATCACTTTCTGATTGTAAAACTACTTTTTGTTTGATTTCTTCTTCTGTTTCTGAAGAATCTGAATCAATTCTCTTCTTTGAAACATGATTTAGCTGTTCTTCACTGTCTGTGTCTGATGAATCACTAGAATCAAACAGTTTCTTCTTCTTTTCTGGAGATTTTTCGTTTGATTTCGAATTATTTTCCGAAATCTTCTTCTTTTCTGACAAAATTACTTTAGTGTTTTGTTTTTCTGATTCATTTTGTTCAGAACTAGAAGAATTTTCACCAGATATTGATGATTTTTCGGAATTATTTTCAGAATTTTCCTCATTTTGTGAACTTTTCTTCTTTTCTGGTAAAAGTATTTCAGAATTTTGTTTTTCCGATTCATTTTGTTCAGAACTTGAAGATTTTTCGGTTAATTTTTCAGAATTATTTTCATTTTCTGAAATTTTCTCGTTTTCTAGTTTGGTTCTGTTGTTTTCTGAAGATTTTTCATCAGAACTTGATGAAATTTTCTGATTTTCTTGAAAATTATTTTTGGTATTTTCTGAATCAGACTTTTTAGAATCAGGATTGACAATTATTTGATTGTTTCCTTGACTATCTGATTGAGATTCATATGATTTCTTTGTATAAGATTCATATGACCTTTCATCAAACTTAGAAACAGATCTGGATGACGTAAATGGGGTAGAATACGAATATGTATCCTTAATTGATGAACTATAGTTCGATTCAGAAATATTATGATTATTATTTTGATAATCATCAATTTTTGACAAAGAAACTCTTCTTTTTTGTATCTTTGTTGCAGAATGGAACTGTTTCAAGTCATCGTTACTTTCTTTTCGAAATTCAACTAATTGTGAGTGGACAATTTGGGATTTTCTTCGTGGAGGAGGTCTTGGCTTCTGTGATGGAGGAGGTGGCATCGATTCCTTGACGATTTTTACAGTTTTTGAATCGATTTGGCCGGATAAAATTAATCTTGCCGTAGAATTGAAGTATAAAGGAAATTCGGTATTTGTATTAACATATACAATGTCTTCGAACCTGTTTAAAGGTGCTAAAGGGTTCTTTGGAGACCATTTGAAATTTTCTTGTTTAAATTGTTGAAAATTTTCTTCATTTACTACGGAAAACTCACTTCCTACCTTAATATTTGCGGCAGTAAACGCTTTCTTTTTGATATTTTGTGCTTCATTGTAAGTTAATTCGGAAAATTTCGAAACTTCCTTAAGAAAACTGAAAGGCAAAGCAATCCTTATTGGATGCGACCTCATACAAGCAGTTTCCATGAGATTGTCAAGTAAAGAAATGCTATCAAAGTGGTCATTTTCCAAAACTAACTCAGAAAACGAAATTTTTCCGACCAAAACATTCAAAACATCGAAATCAGCACTTTTTATCGGAGTTTTTATGAAATGTAAAGAATTTAATTTCGATAAAGTCAATAAACTCTCCAAAACCGGCTTCATTATGATGTTATTATTAACAAACACGATTTTCTCTAATGTGTTGTTGTTCAAAACCTTTTCTGAGAAGTAATTAACGATTAAATTTTCAGATTTGTTGAAAGCGTTGTTCAAAATCAAAACCTTTAGATTAGGAAGGCTTGTTATTACATCAATTATCTCTTTGGTCAAATACGGATGTCCGATTTCTAATTCGACCAAATTATTCGACAATTTTTTCAAATTTTCAGCAAATTCGTATTCATCAACACTTATATTCTTCATGTGGATGATCTGCAATGTCTGGTTCATGTTCAAAAATTCAATAAAAGATTCGAAAATTTCTGGTTCGAAAATGACTGAATTTACATCAATTCTTTTCAAGTTTTCGAACTTTTTCGGTGAAATTTTCGTTTTCAGTTCATTTTGACTTAAATTTATCATTCTTATTGTTTTATTTGACTTTTCGTGAATGATATTCAACAAATCTGATGCGTTCTCACGTACTCCTGCAAGTGATATCGATTCTAGTTTGGGAATTTGTTCCAAAACCTTTGAAAAATTTAAATTATTTGAAAAATCAAAATTAATCATCTTCAAATTCTTCGAAACTTCTTCTGTAAAGAACTTATTGTACAAATAATCCAAGCCATCATCGGTAAACGCGTTATTAAAAGTTAATGAAATAATTTTATCAGATAAAACTTTTTGTTGGAGCTTTTCAAGGACTGAACTATCAAGTTTAGTTCCTGTAAATGACAATGATGTTAGTTTTGGCAGGTTCTCTAAAAATTTTCCAAAATTTTCATCAATTTGGTTACTAACACCGAAATGAGTAAGATGAGAGTAGTTTTTCTGTAATATCTGACCTAGATAAGCGTAAAATGACTCGTTATTTAATTTTATATTCGGTATTGAAATTGATATTAAATCTTTTTTGAGAAACATCGTTTGGAAGACTGGTTTGATGTAAGGAGACAGTTCATCTGAATTAGGAAAGACTATATCTGGCAAGTTATGTGCAAATTTGTTGAGAATAAAGTCAGATAAATTTGAATTAAAAGGTAGAGGACATTTTGTCTTTTCGGCAATGGTAGTAAGACGTTGTATCAGTGCGAAAGTTGAAAATTCGAGTTTATCAGGATCTTTCGGATTAAATCCAATTGATTCTAATTCATCTGAAGTATAAATACGGAATAGTAAAGATTTTATAATTGCAAGAATGTAATCAGCTTCATGTGATTCGAATCTCATCATTTCATCTGATTTTTCATTTGAATTGAAGTAAAATTCTAATCTATTTCCGTTTTTTGCGAATTTTTTTAATTCCGACCACTTATGGTTGCGATCGTGTTGTGGAACTGATTTGCTTTTGTAGTATTCTATTTTGTTTGCAGTGATACTTAAAAATCTTTTGTCACTTCCTTTTCCTGTATCATGAACCTTCATAACAACCCCGATAAATACAGGGACTTGAGCATATTGAGTCTCTTCTTTTAGTATAAAATTAAGTTGGTCTTCGAATTTCCCCATTTTTCTTATGAATTTGAATTGAAGTCGTCAGTAAAAATCAGATTTTAGGCTTCACGTACGAAAGCAAAACATGTTATGATAAAATCGTGTCGAATTAATCTTTTCAAAATTTTGTGAAGTTTACAAATTGATTTATTTCTCATCGCATAAATTGAAATGTATACGCGTAACCGATGCTATAGATATCACTTAATGCATTTTAATTAATATTCTAATAGAAAGATTCATTTTTAATGAGTTTTTGTATGAAATCGATTTTAATTTCAACAGATGGAAAAGATTAGAAAAAAAAACTGAAACGGAATTATCATAATTTTATTAGGTACAACACATATTATGTATCAAGAAATCAAAAACTAAATAATTAGTAAATATAATAACATGTTTTTATAATTTGTATCAGTAGAAGCCTACTTCTTCTTTATGTTTCAAACATTGAATAATTCCACCTCCCAATCCAATTGTTACCAAACCTGCAATTGTAAGAATAAGAGATAACATAGATGAGATTTTTCCAATTCGATATAAAACTACTGGGAGCGCTATTAAAGATGAGCCAAAGCCAGCAATACAAAAGATGATAAAGTCCATTGTTATGATTCCTTCTTCTTTGGAGTCGTCACGTTCTATTCTGTGCTTGAGTATTACACAAAAGATTGATAGAAATATCGCAGGAATTAATTCCAAAAGAATGAAGTAATCATTGTTGATAAAGCAGCCAGCAATAATAAGACCCAAGCCTATAGTAAGAAAGATTCCGAGGATAATATAAGGAAGTGCTTTCATGTTAATCGTAATTTTTGTAAGATTGAAAAACAGCATATTTGTTCCAAATGCAAGAAAGAATATTTCTTCACATCAAATGATGAATCTTCTGATGATGGTTACAACACTAACTCAGATACAGAAATTTATCCAAAAATTAATGAAGAAGAAAAACAAGACAAATCAAATGTTCAGATTGAAGAGAAGAAAGAACAAATTTCTCAGTCATCAATTCCTCAAAAAGGAAGTGAAGCTAGACCTCCAAAATTCCAAAATCCGTCGCAAAAGAAGAATTCTTCATCTTCATCTTCTGAGCCAAAGAAAAGAATTGTATCTTCTATTCCAGAAAATAAACAATCTTCATCAAGTCCTTCAGGAAAGTCAATTGAACAATACTCTTTGATTGACTCGGCCAAAGAATCAAATCAACAAAATTCTCATAAAAATCGAAGAAGCAGAAGAAATAAAAAGAACAAGGAACAGGCATTGAATCAACTACAGAATGACACATCCACCTCTGAATTCCCCCAGATTAAGAATCATAATGATTCTCATCAACCTGTTCAGATTGATTTGCAAAAGCAGACGAATTCACAAGAACAAGATCAGATGAGCCCACAGTATCAACAATCTCAAATGAGTCCACAGTATCAACAACCTCAAATGAGTCCACAATATCCACAGCCTCAAATGAGTACTCTACTGCCAAATCAATTGAATTCATCTTTGCCACAGATTGCAAATTATTCCCAACAGCAATGTTCGGGTTTTCAACAACCAATTCAATCTTATTATCAACAAACAAATCCAATAAATGAGATGATGCAAGCTATTATCATACAGCAACAGCAAATTTCATTTTTGTCTGAAATGATTAAGCAACAACAAAATCAAATGCAGTTTGATCAGCAACGTAATTATCCAAATCAACTCCATGTCAACGTTTCTCCCTATTCAAATCAGCAACTAAATTATAATTCTATTCAACAACAGAATTATAATTCTATTCAACACCAGAATTATAATTCTACTCAACAACAGAATTATAATTCTACTCAACAACAGAATTATAATTCTACTCAACAACAGAATTATAATTTCACTCATCATCAGAATTCCGAATTCATTCAGTCATCAAATTATGCATATTCTCAACAAACATATACTTCGGATCAACAGCAAAACTCTGCTTATTTTCAGAATCAGAATGATGCTAAACCTCAGCATCAAAATTCTCCTTCTCATCAAAGGCAGAGTTCTAATGATTCGAGTAAATCATTTGATGATTCAGATTCAGAAGAATTCGACGATATCTATGTAGTCAAATAAACTGAAATTTGCTATGTTGTTTTGAGCATTTATTGTATTATATGTTGATAAATTATATGTGTGAACATTGAAAATGAGACTTTTTTTTGAATTTTCTTTGTGAGAGTCAACTAATGTAAAAAATCAATCAAATTACTTATTTTTAATGGCCTCTGCTGATCAGAAGAAGATGGCAACCATTCTGCCCCTCTAGGAGTTCCATGGCTTCCAATCCTATCGAAAGGGAACTTTGAAGCTCCAGATAATCTACTGATTCAAAAACAATCTGTAGAAAGAATGGTAGGAAGTTGCATATGTTAGAATTCTTTTGAGTATTCCCTCTCGGAGGCCTCGGCCCTGGTGTAATGCACCAGGATTCTAAGATACTCTTAGAAGGAATCACAATGTAAATTAATTTGACAGTTTACTATAATTTACACTGCACAATTTTGTTAACTACAACGATTTTTAAAAAGAATTATTCTGTTTTCGTAATTAGAAGTTAAGATTCGATTTTCTATATAAAAAATGTACCATACAAACAATACATGTTTATTAAAAGAAAATAATAATAACTAAACAATTTCAACTGTTTCCGACTAATATGATATCTTCTGATTCTGAATCTGAATCTTGAATGTTTCTATTGGAACTAATGCTTTGATTAGCATTGGAATCAGTATTTTGATTAGCATTGGAATCAGTGTTTTGATTAGTATTGGAATCAGTATTTTGATTAGCATTGGAATCAGTGTTTTGATTACCAAATGAAAATATGTTTTGATTAGCATTGGAATACATACTTTGAATTCCATTGGAGTAAATGTTTTGATTACCAATGGAATTCATGTATTGATTTTGCTGAAAATTCGTGAATTGTTGTGGATAACCAAACTGATTTTGTTGAAAAGATGTCAGCATTTGAATTAGTTGTTGGAATATTGATTACTGAATCTGAAAAGGTGTGAGCATCTGAATTAATTGCCACAAAATCTGTTGGGGAGTCATTTGAGCAATGTACGGATTAAGTATCTGTTGTAGCATCATTTGAATTTGTGGCAATTGGTAAATTTGATCAGGGAAATTTTGTTGAGGTGTTTGACCAAAATATTGCTGTGATGGTATTTGATTAAGTAACCGTTGAAGTACCATTTGAATCTGTTGCAATTGAGACCCTTGATCAAGATAATTTTGTGAAGGTATTAGTATATTATTCTGAGCTGGAAAATTTTGATTAAATTGCGGCACTTGTGGTGTATGATTAAACTGCTGCCATTGTGGAGGCATTTGACTGGACAATTGTTGATCTTGTGGAGAATTTTGAGTGATTTGTGGTTGCAATGAATTTTGCTGCCTCAGCTGTGGAGGCATTTGATTCAATGACTGATGTTGTGGAGGCATTTGAATCAAAGGTTGCTGTTGTGGAGGCATTTGAATCAATGACTGCTGTTGGGGAGGCATTTGAATCAATGACTGCTGTTGGGGAGGCATTTGATTCAAAGGTTGCTGTTGTGGAGGCATTTGATTCAAAGGTTGCTGTTGTGGAGGCATTTGAATCAAAGGTTGCTGTTGGGGAGGCATTTGATTCAAAGGTTGCTGTTGGGGAGGCATTTGAATCAAAGGTTGCTATTGTGGAGGCATTTGAATCAAAGGTTGCTGTTGTGGAGGCATTTGATTCAATGACTGTTGCGATGACAGTTGATTCATTTGGTTCGATAGTGGCTGATGTTGTGGGGGTGTTTGAATTTCTCCTTCTTTATCTGAATCAAATCTGTTTTCTTGCTTAGGCGGTGATCCATAATAAGCAGGAGTTTGTGGTAATGGAATCTACTGTTTCTTCTTTTTATTTTTATTTCTTTTCCGCTTTTTAGTAGGAATTTTTTCAATTGAACCATCAACAGATTCAATTAATCCATATGGTTCAGCGAGTGACTTTGGAGGTTTTGCTTTCGCTTTGTTATTAATTGGAGCATTCTTTGATCCGGAAGAAGATGAAGAGGATGAATTCTTCTTTTGCAATGGACTCTGGAATTTCGGTTGCTTGACTTCACTTCCTTTCTGTGGAATTGAAGATTGTGAAGTTTCTCCTTTCTTTTCGTTAGCAAAACTAAGGGTTTTTTTTTCTCCTAATTGAATATCTGGTTTAACTTGTTCATTAATGTTTGAAACTAATGTGATATCATCAGAATTCTATTAAAATGGATTTGATCCAAAAAAATATAAAACCAAAAATAATTGTTATAGTTTAAATGAAGAAGTAATTTAAAACGATTTTATTTATGATCAAATTTTATATATTTTTTTGGATCAAATCCATTTTAATAGAATTTATATACTATTCATCTATTAGTAAACACTACCGTATATTATTTTTTAAGCTATCTTATTTTTTGAAGTTTTATTCAAATCTTTGGTCGCAAGAAGAATTGCATGATAAATAAAAACATTTAATCAAAGTCAATTTTATTTTTCATATTCAAATGGACTGAGTGTTAACATTTAACATTTTTTGCTAATTGTCGTCAAAAATTAGGCGTAAAGCAAAAATTGATATTTCATATGGTTTTATGATAGATAAGCATTATATTCCCACTCATTATATTCGTAAATTTTGAGGTTTATCCTTCGCTTTTAAGATCATTGAATTTGATTTTTATATAAAATAGTTATATATTAGAAAATAATATGAGTTTATATGATATTATTTTTCAGAAGATTTCATTCTATATGCCTATGAAAAGTACTCTCAAAACTAACTTTTTCCTAATTATAATTAAATCTAGAATATTGTATTATGCTTAGTATTATTTCATTTTTCTCATTCAATTTAGAATTTACAAATGTCAAAAAATTGAGAGCTGTCACTTTTGATGAATTTCTGTTTATTACATTGTCACTTGCTTCTTGCATTAGATTTTTTAATTCTTTCTTGGATTGTTTGAGATTAAAAACTGTGGGGATTTTTTGATCTTTTGGGTTTGCCCCTGCTACTATTTGTTGGGTTTGCTTATTTTTGGTATTAAATTTTGAGGAATTACTGCTGTTCATTCAAAGGAAAAAGTAAGACACCCTGCTTATATTAAAAAATTGTAAAGTATTCAAAATCATTCGATTTTTTGTCAAAAGAATTTGCCAAAACATAATTCACTGTACAAACATAGATAAGTGAATATATCACGAAAATTTTGAATAGCTATTCAAAATTTATTTTATTTACCATTGAACATAAATCTGTGCCAGAATTATCGAAATGCGATGATTTAGCATCAACTGTAATGTATTTCGAGAAGCACTACTTTTAAAATTGTGATTTAAGTTAACTTTATCCAATCTAATTACCCATTTCAGATTTCAGTATCCTTATCACGAAGTGGTGTGCCAACAGACTTTAATGAATCACAAAACGCAAAACAATAAACGGAAAGAATCGTGAAAAAAAAAACTTTATCACCCAAAATTCCAAGTGCAACAGCATTTAATGATTTGCAAGGATCAAATGCGCTGTATGAAATAATTTGAGGCAATATTGCCAGAAAGTAGACGGATTGTGATTAAAATAGATTTTTATTCAAGATAATCAATGAAAATTACCAAAAACTTTAAGTATTATAGCTAATACACGAAAAATTATCGGTAAGTAATATACGAATAACTTATATTATTAATGATATTCATAAGATTGGAAAAAAAAATTATAATTTGATCGAGAGTATTGAATTTGAGTAACCATAATGATTAACAAAAGTAAAATCGTAATGAGTGATGATTTTTCGTAATCAAATGATGAAATCTAAAAAAAATTCAACAATTTTGATTATTAAATCGGTAATTTCGAAATCTCTGACTCTACAAAATCGATCTTACCTTGATATGACTGTAATAAATACGTTAAAGCATCAAATTGAACATTATCTGTAGAAGATTCAATCAAAGACTTGAATTCTGGAAGTTCTGATAAGTCTGTTTCATGATGGTTATCGTCATGCTTCTTATAATTAAGGCGAGTTAGATATTTCCATCTGTATTTTACAGATTCTTCAGTTTTATGTAAGAAATACTTAGATATTTGACGCCAGTTTTTTCCATACTTAGAAACAAGTTCGAGTAAATTTTTATCTTCATCTGGAGAGAAGGGATTTAAACCTTTATTGGATATTATGCAATAAATATCTCTGAATCTCTTTCTCTGCTTAAAGGGCATTTCGGATTGGACTTTCAAACTGTTATTTGATGCTCCATTTGCAGCAATAAATAAAAGTAGTTGATCATCATTGGCGCTGTTGAACAAAGCTTCTTTAGAATAATATATATCTTGAACACCACTTCTTTGGTTCATAATCTAAAAGAAAATTCTAGAAAACTCAAGAAAAATATTATTAAAGGGTCCAAAATTTTTATTATGGGGAAGATTTTATTTTTATTGAAGATTTTGAGATAAAAACAATAGAAAGAATCATAATTGAAGATAGAAAATATCATTACGAAAGGACCAAATAAATATACTATATATAATGGCTCCTATTATCAATTAGTTTTTAATCATGATCTTCGATATTCGTCTTGTTTTCAAACTGAAGATCAAGCAAAACACAACACCGGCGATTCATATAAATTTTCGATAATTGATCAACTTACATCTCCTCTATATCGTGCGTCAGATGGATTTCTTCATTTCATTTTAGAATATCCATTAGTGAACTTACTTAATGCATGGCATCAATCATTATCACCTCTTGTTAACATAGAGCAAAAGGATGTTTATAAAGTTTCCGGCTATGAAAAAGAATATCTTGAATTACCAAGTTCAGCCTGGGGAGGATTGGTGAAAACTAACTACCTATATGAAAATATTCACACCTCATTGCTTGATGGAAATCCTGGAAGAAATACTTATTGGTATGCAATTGGTTTACTCTGTAGCTGCAATTGCAACTATTTAACAAACGGCTATCCTGCTTGTAACCCTCAAACAACTCCTAATGTAAGATTATGGGCTAGAATACCTCCTTTAGAATCAATTTATAGAAATTTTGATTATAGATCTATAGTTTTGACAGAATCAAATTTCTTTATTTTCATAGTTTTATCATTTCAAGATGTATAAAAGCATGTCAATTTTTTTCTATTAAAATCTTATTTTATTCAAATAATTCTATGAATCATCTGAAAAAAATATCATTTCTCAGATGGGTGTTTATTGTTCTTAGCAGTTATATTAATTGCTAAGAACGTTCAACTGTTATATGAACACTCATACTTAAAAATATAAAGATAATCTCGATTTTAATGCTTAATCAAAAGAATGATATTACAAGGTTATTATGTAAATAGTATATTATATGCACAGTTCGATTTTAGATTGTATCAGCTTGTGTAGGTCAGGTGAATGGGGCTTCCAGGGGCTGCGCCCCTTCTAGCCCCTAAGAAACTAGAGGAGGAATGATACAAAGACCAGATGAAAAAAATAAAAATATTATAATAAAATTAAATTTTTAGTCTTAAATTGTTTTTTTATTCGGTATATTCTGAATCTTGAATGTCTTGGAAATTTTCTTCTTCTTCGCTCTCTGAGGTGAGGATTTCTTCGACTTCTTCTTCTTCGCCATTGGGAGCAACAAATCCTGCAATGAAAACTTTGTATATACCTTCTTGAGGAGTCTCTATGATGAAAGTCGTATTGTTGAGGAAATGGAACTCGACATCTTGAACAAATTGGCAACTGCTGTGTGTGAATTTTGCAATTGTGAGAGGCTTTCCTTTATAGCCCTTGGGAAAGCTTGAGATAGTTACTGTTCCTCCATATGGAACTCTGGCAGGAATATCTAAAGCAACAGTTGTTATAACGTGGAAATTGTCTACGAATTGAGGCATAGGTTCAATGCAGTATAGTCGTTTTGACTGGTTGTCTTTTGTGTAGAAATATAAATAGAATGACCTTTCACCATGTTCATTCAATTCTTCCAAATAATTGTATGAATTTGGATATAAACGGACAAATTCAGCAACTTTAACTTCTTGTAAATGCTTCTGCAAGTTCTTTGGAAACAAGTGAATGAACTGGTCAATAGCTTGCAACGCTATGAGATTGGCAGTAACGGGTAAATATGAAGCAAACATGTCAACAAGTACGCCAGGGTCTTTGATTTCGTTTTCAAGAGGCTGAATGGCATCCATGACAGCTTGAAACATCTCGTTATAATCTCGATTGTCTTCTGAACCCCACTGTTCATTTAACTTATCTAACAATTCTAACCTTTTCTTTGCGTATTTTCTACGAACTTTCTCTGAAAGAGGAGTGTCGCTATCTTGTGTGTCTTGAATTTGAGACTTAAATTGTTTGCAAAAGGCGAGATATCGTGTTTGCGACCTAGTGGTCATTGCAGAATGTGTTTCTGTATGTTCGATTGGATGTGTTTCTGTATGTTCGATTGGAGTCTGATTGGTATGAACTTCTTCTGAAAATGCTTCTGTTCCGATAGTTGTTGTTGCCTGACCTGTTGGCTGAGCTGTTTCTTTGTGCAAATGCATATTGTTGGACAAATTGTCTTGAATTGTATGAGGAAGTTGCTTTGGTATTATAGGAGGTCGTAAGGGTTTTGAAAATGGTGAGACATAAGTTGTAGGAACTTTAACTGCAGAGGTAGTCGACGAATTGTTTGCGACACTTTTTCTTCCTTCCATTATGAAAAATAAACTCAAATAAGAGTTTGAAATAAACGGTTTTCGTCAACGGAGACCCCCTCTATTTTTTTATTTTATTTAATAGTTACCGTTGGCAAACCGTTCCATCTCAAATATTGAATGAACTATAAACGTTTTTTGTTTTCTATATATACTTTTTTGTCCAACGGTAAAACTTTTTACACAACGGTTTTTGAGAGTCGTCGCCGTTGACTTTTTTTGTAGAGCACTCAAAATAGTATAACTTTGTCCGGACAAGTAAGGGTCTATCGTCGCTACAGGAAAAGTTACAGGCGTTCCAAGGAAGTATACTTTGAGAAGCCTTTCCCCCTTATAGAATGAGATAGGACGGTTATTTTACAAAACTGACAACACTTTGACCGAGTAGTTTTTTGAGCTGAACAAAAAGTGTCATATAAACATCTGTCAAAAACCGCTTTTTAACTTCACTTAAAATGCCACGTAAGCTACGTAAGAATATACGTAAGAGGAAGGGAGCATTGAAACATCCAATAGTAAAACTGACACCACAACAACAGTTGCAACAACAAATGATGAATGACCCCACTATGTTGCAACAAATGTCAAGCAACCCTATGCTTTTAAACCGAGTTATTGGTGCACAGAGTGGAGGTTTAAGAGCGGCACTTTTAGCGAAAATGGCAGGCTATGGTGGAGCTGCAGACGGAACAGCTTATAACCCTCAAAGTCAAATGAATTTGAGTTCACTCAAAAATCAAATAACAGATGTCAAAAAGTCAAACATAGACATACAGAAACAAATAAGTGAAAACGAAAAGAAACTAGAATATGACAGACACACAAAGAAACTCAATGAGTTAAACGTAGAGAAAAAGAAGAAAGAAGAACAACTGAAAGAACTAAGTACAGAGGAATATGCGAAAAAAGTGTCAGAAAAAGCAGCAGAAGTAGCAAAAATGGAACAAGATGTTATAAATTTGAAAAACCATACTACTCAATATAAAGTACTGAAAGATGAAGAAATAAAACAAAAAGCCCTGAAGACATATATGGATAGCGATGAGTATAAAAAAGAAGTTGAAGCAAATGTAAAGGCAGAAAAACTTTTACAGTTGCAAAACCAAACCGTACAGTATGAAAACTTAGCACAAGAAAGTAAAAATAACGACGCAGCCATGCAAAAGGCAATGAAAAGCGCAGAATATATAAAAGCTAACAATGACTGGTTAGATGCCCAAGCCAACGCTAAAGCAGCCCAACTTATAGGGTCAATAAGGACAAAAATACAAGCGGATGAAGACAGTTCAAATGAAGCTTTAATGAATGCTGACTTTAAGAATGCCTTCGAAGCTCTTCATAGTAAGGTGAAACTAGTGAACGACTTCTCATCTGGAAAGAAACTGAAGTCTGAAGGTTTCGACAAAGAGTTAAAAGAAGTAGCACAAAATATGACGAAAATAACAGATGCAGCAACGAGACAGGCAGTTCAAAGTGCCTATGACGCCGTTAGAGCAACTGTTGTGGAAAGTCAAGAAAAAGAGTTACAACAGACCAAAACAGACCTAGTAAATGCTTTCTTAAAAACGAAAAGTCAGGTAGGACATTATGCTGCAGATGGAACATATGTGCCAGCTGGTGGAACTTATATACTAGCTAGTGGAACTTATATACCACCAAACCCTCCAAGAGAAGCACCTGCACCAGGACTACCTAAAACATTTACATCGTCACATGGACACAGACACAGGCATGCACCAAAACCAACACAACAACCAACACAACAACCAACAGTTCAAAACACAGCACCACAACCAACAGTTCAAAACCCTGCACAACAACCAACAGTTCAAAACCCTGCACAGCAACAACAACCAACACAGCAACCAACAGTTCAAAATCCAGCACAACAACAACAACAAACAGAGCAAGGACATAAAAGAAGTAGAGAACAAGGAAACCAAGAATTCTTAAAAATGCTTAAAGAAGACTATGGTTACCCAGATACTATTGACTTTAGTGACAGATATAAAGAAGCTATTCGAAAGTTCAAGGAAGGAAATACTGACCCGAACCTATTTAGCTTTATGGTTCAGCACCAAATGGGATATAATTTCAAACTTGGAAAATACAAGCTCGCTAAGGGATATGATTTAATAGCATATCATCCAAATGACATGAACGAATTTACTCCGAGATATTTGGTGTCAGAGATAAATGATGATTCAACTATCTTCATGAAACGCGTAAAAAATAGAGACGGAACGAAAGAACAAAGGCTTATGAATGCGGATGACTTAAATAGGGAACTTGTTGAAAACGGTCTCGGAATATATGAAATGCCAGCAGATGAGGTACAAGAAACTCCACAGGAAGAAGTTCAGATACAACCAGACATGGAAGAAATAGTTCAGCAACAACAGCTAGAAGAGCCTGAAGGAAACGAACAAGTCCCTCCTTTGGAAACTAACTTCACAGAACTAGATGAAGATTTGGAACAGCCGAAAAATCTTGACCCTCAACAAGAGTATGAGGTGAATATGGAATCTTTCCAAGAGTCTAAGAAAAATTCGGCTGACATGGTAGAAGAATATCGAAAAATGTTTGCCGACATACAAAAGACTCCAACATCAGATGAAAATATTCAGCATAGAATGGAAGAACTGAAAGAAAATGTACACAAATACAACAACCCTTTTTACTTACGAGCATATAACGTTCAATCTTTGGATGAACTCGGTGAAAATAAAAGGTTAAATTTCAACAAAACATATAGAAATGAAACATTGTTTAAAGTTCATTCAGAACCTAACCAATATGGAAACAAACCTACTTTTGTTTCTGCAGACTATGGAACTACAATGAGATGGGGTCATAAAGCTAACCCGGATAGGTGGTTCATAAACTTACAACCACAATTCCAAGAAGTTGTAGACGCAATGGAAGTGAATGGTGAACCAGATTTAGCTGGTATTTTCAGCGCGGCTTTAATGCCATTGAAAGATATGAAAGATGCAGATATTTTGAACCAGTATGAAATGAACATGGCTGATGGAAATATAACACCTGACGTTCTAGAACATTTATCTCAAAGAACTACACAGAACCATAGAGATGGTATATTTGGTGAAGAGTTTAGAAAGAGAGTTAGGAGAGAGAAGGAAGAGAACCTATTGTACATGACCTTGCAAACGAAAGTTTACAAAATGTCATAAAAACTTACTTTGCAGACGATGAAATGAGAAGGGATGAATATTTAAGAAAACTCAAATGGACAGTACCAAATGAAATGTTAGTATTGAAAAACATGTTCCTTGACAAAATAAAACCAACTACAGAAATAAATGACGCAAGACTGAAACGTTGGGTAAAAGCTTTCCCATTCACAAAAGATATTGTTGGTAACATGGAAAGAAAACCAGAATGGCTACAAAAACATATATTTGGAAACGAGCTTATTCCATATGGACAAGCTCTGTTTGAAGAGCTTGAACCGGAAACTCAGGAAAGAGTCATGCAAACAATACGCGAAGACTCAAATACAAACTATGACAAACTCTTTCTAGGATATAGGTTACCTGAGATGGGCGACCAGAGCCCAAAGGCAAAAAGGACATGGGAAATTTACAAACATACTAGGTGAACATGAGGCAAAGATGCAACAACTTGAAGCAGAGGGCAAGTTACCAAAGCGACACCAAAGAAGAAGAGAAGAGTAGAACAAAGTGAAAGTAGTGAAGAAGTAACTTCATCTAGTGAAAGTAGTGGCAATGAAGGAAAAAGAAGAGTTAAAAACTCAGCCAGGAAGAAAGTAAAGCTTGGTCCACGTGGGTTCTATTATGACACATAAATCCAACTATTCTATATTTTTACCCATATGAAATGTACGCCGCTCAGAATATAACGCCAACAGTTTTGGATGCCATGAATGGAAATGTTTCCGAATGGTATAACGAATGCGACAATGCCATTAGAAGGTCAGAAATAGTTCCTGGAACTTACGAATATACAACTGCTGTTTCTTATGGAAACGTAGGTGAGTTTGGAGAAGGTTCTTCAACAACAGTAGATATTGCTTGCGACAGGTTTCATATATTTCTATTGACAACTCATTCTTATACGTGGAACAAGACATTGAAATAAAACCTTCTGCCAAGTTGTCTGACAAGAAAGGTTGCAATGGAATTTTCTATGTCGGATACCAATATGCTCCAGAAGTTTTCATGGGATATAAGATATATTCTAACTCTGACTTAGTTCAAACAGTAACATGGGCAAACTATGAATGGTTCGCTTTGAGAAACTCAGTACAACCACAAGCTAGAGAACAAACAGACCAGTATGCAACTATTGAGAAAATAAGAAGACTTGACCCTAACGTTCCAGGAGTTTATGTTAACCTTTCTGGACAAACTGCAGCAGCAGTAACCAAAGTAAAACTGAAACTTAGAGTTCCTTTGTCATCTTTCCTCATCTTCAGGTTTTTAAGATACTTGCCAAACTGGGCAGGAAAAATTTCTATCGAACTTACTCCAAGCAAAAATAACTTAGTCATTGCACCAACACAAGACCCATTCACTCTTACAGACGTAAAGGGACAAATCAAACGTCATTCGCCGATTTTGCAAAGACAAAGTTGACTTAGACTTTGGTTTCTCAAACCTCAACACTGAAGTAAACTATTATTTCAATGCTGCTGGAACTGCTTGGGACCCAGTTAAGTTCACATGCGAAAAATTTGAATGCAAGAGAATAGAAAGCAGACTTGCAGTCTATATGTTGGACCCAGATATTTCAAATGCTTTAGCTGCCAAATATATTGCAGTTCCACTTATGTTCCCTATACACCAAATATCTGTCAAAGACTTTGCAGGTGAAGTTGGAAACCAAAGTGCTGACCCAGGTGCAAGAACAGATATTGCTTTAACAACTGCAATGAAACATGCAGATACTATGTTTGTACTGTTCAGACGAACTATAAATGACTATTCTTGTTTCTACAACCCTGGTATTAAATATCA